GAGAAAGACAGCAAGAAACAGTTGAGATCCAAAGCCAGGTAAGGTGAAGTCAGTGACACACACAACCAGGAGGAAATCGGTCGTAAGCAACTAATTTGCAATCTTTCCCCTGTCCTTGAGCTGCACATGAGCTGGTTACAGTGACAGAGGATGTATTTTCTGGTGGAGCCCAGGATTTCTAGTGCTTGATTGTCAGCATTCAAGTGGGGCTGGTTGGCTGGAGAGGACAGAGCCCACGTGCCACCACCTTCCCACAAAACACCGGTGTAAGGTTAAGTGTCACGGTCACAAACTCCACAGTTGCTTATCCCATTAATTTTTTTTGTTATACTATTTGTTTCAAATGTTTCTGTAAAATGTTGGGAAGCATCTTCCTGGAATGCTGCTGGCAAAAAAACTCAACCCAAAGGAAAGCAAAAACCCCAAAAAGTAGAGATTTCTTAGAACTGATCCAGATGAAGGTACCCAACAAGAATTGCTGTCTTTAAATTTGGGGTGAGGGCCATATCTGGACTCTGCTGGTCCTAGTCCTCCAGGTGGAACAGCCCTCCCTGTTACAGATCTGCGGGATGGAGTTTGGCCAGGCTCACAGAGCCCAAATTCCAGCAGCTCTGCCTCCCCTCTCCTTCCACCATATGTTGCACAATAAATCACACTGGATAAAAAAAGGCATTCAGGCTCCTGAAATGCTTCCCAGTCATGCAGCATCCCCGTTGCAATTCTAGTCTAACAGGGATAAATACTTCTTTATCATCAATTAGTAATCAGACTCACTTTCATATAAATCTGAATTTGTAAAAAAACCCAAAAAAAACAACAAAAAACCCCACCAAAACACTGGAGTAATCCACGCCAGGCAGGTTGGTGAATGATCCCTTGGCTTATAATTAACCAGTGTGAAACTACTGGTATTTCTAAATCTTAACATGTCACCAGGGTGTTACACAGGCATTGCTATTTAACAGAGGTAACAACGTTAGTAATTATGGCACCTCGGGCTCTCCCCTGAATGATGGAGACAATGCAAAACTTCAAGGGACAATTCACACCTTGCAGCACCTGAAGGTCGATAAGTTTGTGCCGTGTTCCTTATTTAAACATCTCAGTGAAAAACTTACACCTAGGTGGGGACAACTTGAGTCCCAGTGAGCTGCTGCTGTGAAGAAAAACAGCAAAGTCTGGGCTTTTTGGCTACTTCAACCAAACAACATCTTTTTCCTGGTTTTGGCTTTTTGGTGCTGCTCCTCCTTTGGCTTTCCCTGTAGTAACTCAGGTCCCTGAGTCCCCTCTCACAGGTTATGTGGAGGAGCAGAGCTGGTCCCTGTCCCCAGCTGCACAAATGCACATTTCACTAAATCCTTGTGCACTTCTGTGCCATTCTCATACGGATTTCTGTGCACAGGACTTGGAAGAGTGGGTTTTAACTGCCCCAGAGACTGCACACATGGGCTCTATGGAAAAGAAACGTATGCCCATAAACCCATAAATTTGGGGGGTCTGCTTACACAAGGCTATCTGCTTTCTCTATGTTTTGGGTCTTGAAAGAACCCAGGGAGACTCTTTGTTGCGTAATTCAGATACACATTCACTTTTTACCAAAGAAGGAAAACTTCAGCTCTTGTCCATGTAAATAATGGATGTCACCCACCTCTGTGCAGTTCTGCCCCCGCATGGGATATGGTTTTTTTTCCCAGTGCTTTTCCCTCCAGCCCAGAATGGTTAAGGCACTTCCCTGCCCACCTGCCAGCCTGCATGGGACTGCCCAGGGATGTCACTGGGCAGCTGGCACACTCCAAGTACCATTTGAGGTTGAGGTGGGAGGTGACTCACTGGCACACTGGAGTCAGTATGGGGAGGAAGAGCCATCCCCTGCACGGCACTGCTGCCTGCCACTGCCTGCATCCACCTGCCTCATCCCTCTGGACTAACCATTGCACCTGGAGGTCCACTGCCACTAATCAGAGTGTGGGAACCCACAGCAATCAGGATTCTGCAACATCAGGTGCATCACCCACCACGTGAGACGGCAAACAGAGACGAGCAGGTACCACAGAGCTGGAGAACAAGGGGACAGAGCAGAGGGATGAAGTGAGAGGAGGTTACAGGAAGGCAGGAAGGTCTCAGAAGGAAACTGCCTGCTCTTAGGAGGACGGGATACTCACAGTCATGGGCTCCTTTGCCGTGCTGGAGGCTGTGGAGGTTTGCTGCCGCACGTGTCCTCGCTGGGTCCTTTGTGGCCCACGCCACCGCCCGCCTCCTCGTGCCCCCTTGGCTCATGGGGGGATTGAACCTGCCCGACACGGTGTGCTAAGGAGCCTGAGACCCACTTGGGAGCTGCAGCCGGTCACTTGATGCCGTAATCCTTCCTCATTACAAAAGAGACTCTGTTGTCTTTTGCCCTGTTCCCTCCTAATCTTCTGAGTAAGCCCTGCGTGTTTATAGAGGCGGCCGGAGGAGGGGGAGGCAGGGCTGGCTGCTCTGCTGCTGCTAACTCCTGGCACAGCCATGGTGGCTGCCAGGAGAGAGGCATTTTTCCTCTAATTCTTTCCTGTTTGGTCCCTTTCTCCGTGTCACAATCTTACAGGAACCCCAGGAGATTATGCAGGGCTGGAATTTTCCACAAAGGCTGTAAAATGTGTCATGCCTGGGGGGCTGCACAGCCCTCTCTTCCCTGGGGAAGCTCCTTAGCTTGGTGAAACACCTGGTCCATGCTCTGCCTGGCTCTCACAGGATGTTTCTCTGTCACTCCTCGCTGTCCCTGGATGAGTTTGTCACCTCTTCCAGCTATGGTTTGGATGCTGGGGACTTCCACTCTGCCACTGCCTCCCCGAGACTCTTTCCATGGGTTCACTTTCTCTTCCTCTGGCTTCTTCCAGCAGTGCTTGGGGACTCACTGCTCTTCCCTGCATGACATCCTGGGAAACATCAGTCCTTGCCTTTGTTCTGAAATCTCCACCAAGCCAGAAACTCCTCCCCTCTGTCTCTCCAGGGTCCCTTTTCTGCTCCCAAGTCATCCCTCCCAATTGCCACCATCCTTCTCATCCACCACCTCAACAATCCCCCCTGTTAGGTCTTTAGGATGTTCCCCTTCCACGGGGCTCTGAATGAAAATCCTTTCTCACTATTTAGTCTTCCATCATTTACCCAGCTGTGGGATGCTGTGGAGGGGGAGCACAGGTCTGACCCATGCAGGTAAGAGCAGCTGGAGACCAGGACTCCTGTAAAAACCAACTTTCTCTTGTGCTGGTTGTATGCCTGTGTCTTTGACACTTGTTTAACATCAGCAGTTGGGATCAATTTGTCCCAAATGTAGTTTTATCCTTCCTGTGGCTGATCCTAGACAAGGGGAGAGTGCTGTTGGGAGTGGTTTGGGTGCTCCTGGGGACATGAAACAACAAACCACAGAGTGTCCTGCTGTTTGTGGAAGGATGTGCTGGCATCTGGGGGACTCTGCTGCCCTCCTCTGAGAGCAGCTCAGCTGGCAGCTCGTGTGTTTCACAGCTGCTGCTGGGACAGCACGAAATATGTGTGGAATTTAATATTAAAGTAAATAACTGAAGGGCTACCAGCATGTCAGCCCTGCTTGGATCTCTTTTCACATCCCCTGTGGCCTCAGACCTTGCAGGACTTGAGGAAGATTCCTTGCACAGAAGCAGAGGAGGAAGCAAGGAGGTCTGATATCCCTCCTCAGTCTCACAGCCTTGGAATCATCCTCATTTTCTCAATGTTACAGACGCAGAAACTGAATTACTGTGGTGGGAATTGAATCCCTGTTTTGGGAATGCCAGAGGGCCACTCTCCGTGCTGAGTTAGAAGCAACTGTCTGGGAATGGCACAGTGCCCTCCTTGCTTCTCGTAGAGAATAAGTGTTTTTTGGGACAGTGGGTCCAGTTTCAGTGGTGAGATAGACACAGAGGCAGCTGGCATCAGGGATGTCTCTCAAAATAGCATTCTTCCCTGGAATCTTACGTAATTAAAAAAAAAAAGATAAAGTAGGAATTATCTGAGGAGATGCTGTTTTGCAAGGACAGGATTTACCCAGAGATTTGAGCTGGCCAGGAATGTTTGAAGAGGATGCAGTGACCCTCAGTGCTTTTGTGAGGACCCCCAGGCTTCTTCCCCTTATGCTGCAGAATTCTTCACTATTTCTGGGGGGCTCTGAGAGCCGTGGGTGCCAAGCTCTGCACCTCCCTCAGACCCGAGTGCTAATCTCCATCTTACCCTCTGCATTTTGTTTTTAGGGGCTTGGAGGGTGACAAATCTCCCTCTCCGATGTTGCATAGTTCAGTTTGCATGGCATGAAAAGGAGGGAAAGGTCCTTAGCAAGATCCCCTTTCTCTTGCCATAGGTTCTGTGGCAGGGATTAGGCTCCAAAGGGAGGACCAAATGTGTTGGTCCTGGAAATCAGGGATCTTAGAGCCAGAAATCCCAGAAAGCCCTTGCTGAAAGCCTTGCAGCCAGCTGAGCAAACATCAGCACAGCATCTGAGCCAGCAAGGAGGGGCTGGAAGGAGCCTGGAGTTTGAGGCCATTTCATTCTCCTTTTCATGGCAATAACATCCGGTTTGGGTTTGCTGAGCCTGGGGTGTAGTCCTGCTTTCCAAGCTCTAAAATAATCCCCATTCCTCCTTCTCTTCCCAGCCTGCATCTGGTTTTCTCCTTTCCTTCTGGGAAGAAGAGGGAAGCACAGGCCACTCTCCCCCTATGAAAAGTTAACTTCTGCAAGTGGCTGGGATACAGAATCTTCAGCACATCCCCTCAATGCTTCCTGTCTGCACTATCAGTTCTCATCCTTCCTGCCTTTGTCGGCTCCTGGAATCAGTTCTACCCTTCTAATCTGAGGACCCTCCGTCCCTGCCAGCCAAGCCTTGGGAGTTAATAATTACAAAGACTAATTACTTGTGGTGCTGCCTTGGAAAGCTGAAGATCTTTCCCCTCCTCCCAAAAGCTCCCTGAAGATAACAAAGGTTACAGCCAGTGACACAAACAGACACAAACGTCCCGAACACTCCGTTCCCAGACTTCAGAGCATGAGGTTGGCCTGTTCTGTCACCATGGATCCTGGCCATGGGGCAGGGCAGGGCTGCAGATGACAGGGACACCCAGGAGATGCTGGGACAGAGAAGTGCTCCCTACGTGGTATCCACAGCAGCATTCTGCAATGGATACATGGATCACCATGTCTGACTCACCAGCCTTTGGCCTTGGATCTGGCAGTGAGGCAGAGGATGGGCAAATGGAGAGCAAGGCAGGAGCATGTGAAGGCTCTGAGGGGATACGGCTGCCTGGAGGGAAGCCCTGGGCAATGGCAAGGTAGGATGTGATGGGAAATGTGGGGAAGGATCGATCTGGAAAACATCCTCTTAGGGTGGCCTGCAAGGGCAGGGGCAGTTTTTGGTTGAGTGGAGACACTCACCAAAATTTCAGTGCTGTCAATTCAGAGGTGGGTGTGGGATCTGCTGTTGGGACTGGGGTAATAGCAGGAGTGGTTTGACTGTTTTGTTCCCAGCCCTGTGCTCTCCTTGAATGCCAAGTTTAAAAATCCTGGACAATCAATGGCCTTTCTTCCCCCAGCCAGGTTTCCCCCATCCTTTCAGCTTCCTGCATATTATCTCTGACTTCCTCAGTGTGTTGGGGTTTTGGGGCACAGTTGTGGTAGTGGGAGAGTTACAGGGGTAGCTTCTGTGAGAAGCTGCTGGAAGCTTACCTATGTTGGATGGAGCCATTCCCAGCTGGCTCAAGATGGACCTGCCACTGGCCAAGCCTGAGCCCATCAGCGACAGTGGGAGCACCTCTGGAACAATATATTTAAGAAGGGGGACAAAAGCTATTGCATGGGAGCAATTGCAGCCAGAGGTGGTCCCCGTGGAAGGATCCCACTCTGGATCAGCGCTTCCCTAAGGGACTGCACTCCGTGGAAGTGACCCACGCGGGAGCACTTCGTGAATAACTCACGTTGAAGTCCACGGAGGACTGTCTCCCCTGGGAGGGACCCCATGCTGGAGCAGGGGAAAAGTGTGACGAATCCTTCTGAGCAAGAAGGAGCAGGAGAGAGCTGACCCGTGTGGAAGGAGGCAGAGGAAACCAGGCGCGAATCTGAGCCGGGGAAGAAGAGAAGGGCAGAGGAACGGCTGTTTAAGATTTAATTTTCGCTTCTCACTGCCCTGCACCGATGTGATCGGTAACAAACCACCCTAATTCCCGCGATTCCAGCCCGTTTTGCCCGCGCCGCCGCTCGCCGAGTGACCCTCCGGGCCGGGGCGGCTAAGGCGCAGGCGCGCGGCATCACGTGGGGCGGCGGTGGGCTGCGGTCCTCCGGGATCCGCTTCCGGCTCCAGCTCGGCTTCTCGGGGTCCTGCTCCGGGAGCGGGCTCCCCTTCCTCAGGGCCGCTTCCGACTCTTTATCCGGCTGCAGAGCTCCTCCCGGAAGGTCTCGCCGCTCGGCTGCGGCTCGCGGGCTTCTCCGGCGCAGCTCCCGCTTCGGCTGCGGCTCCTCCGGGCATTGGGCGGGGCGGCGGGCGCACCTCGCCGTGGCAGCAGCATCAGGGGACCCCAGCGTTGGCGGGGGTAGGTGCGGGGGGGATCGGGGGCTTAGGGGGGTGTCTGTGCCCCTCGGGCTTCCACGGGGTTTGGTGGTTTCGGTGCTCACACCTTGTGTCCCTGCAGCCCGGAGCCCCCCGGCTCCGCCAGCGCTCAGGGCGCTGCGGGTGTTCGTAGGATTCATAGAATCCCAGAATGGTTTGGGTTGGAAGGGATCTTAAAGACTGATCTAGTCTAAGCCCCTGTCATGGGCAGGGGCACCTTCCAGTAGACCAGGTTGCTCCAAGCCCCGTCCAACCTGGCTTTGGACACTTCCCAGAGATGGAGCAGCCACAACTTCTCTGGGCAACCTGTGGAAAGAGTTGTGTGGAAGCCAACTAAGGAGATGGAATGAGGAGACGCCGTGCGGCACCAGCACCCCCAGACATAAGGCACAACAGGGTCGTTGCTGAGGCAAAGACAAGAAACTGCAATTGTGTGTTCTGCTATAATATAATAATATAATGAAACATGACCAGATGCTTTGCCAAAGCTTTTGAGGGATGATACTGAGCAGCCACGGGCTCTGGACAGATGCCAGCCCGTGATGATGAACACGGTGCCAGTCAGGCATCTGTCCCGGCGGGATGGAAAAGTCGGGTCCTCCTCCCAAACCCGCGGGTAAGAGTTTAACCTGGAGGGAGCCAGAGGCTTGCTTGTACGGGAAATAACCCTCTTGGATCAGCAGTGCAGGAAACATGTGGGGCCCGCTGGAAAAAGTGCAGATCTTGCACATTTTTTTTGCTTTTTCTACAGAAACCAATTTTAGAAGGTTGTGGGGTGTTGTGAATTTTTTTTTCCTATGAAAGTTTGTACTTCTTGTGTCAGTGTGGGACTTATATAATACGATCCGTTTTTCCAAGAAAGACAGCTACCAGTCAGCAAGAGAGAATGAGTGTATGTGGTGGTCTTTTGGTCTCTGTGGGCTGGATTTCAGAGCCCCACCTGGACAATGGAGATCCAGCATAGCCAAGGCTTCCGTGAGGATTCTGTTTGCGCAGTGTGGAGAATGAGCTATCACAGATGGTTTTTCAGGATATGTTTTTGGCATTACAGGGTGTGGGTGGGACTGTTTCATTCTTCCATATCCTCCAGTTTTCTTCTGTAGTGTGTGGAAATGTGCTGAAATATCTGTTTCCCAAGGCAGCTTTCATGTGAGAGTTTGAGAGTCATAAAGAAACAACATTGTTTTTTCTTCCTGGGGGTTTGATTGACTGCATGAGTAGTTTAGTGGACTGTTGAAATGCCCTTTTCTCTGCTGCTTCTTTATTATTTTTTAGTAGCTGCTTGGTTTTGAATCTTGCTTTTCCTCTGTGCTCTGATTTTTGTGCTCTGCTCACAGAAGCTGGAGGTGCTGGGACTGTCTGGGTCCCTTCTGCTCTGTTTCCTCTAATGCAGGAATACCTGGAGAGGTCTCTTTTCTGCAGTTTACCCTGTCTCATCCCAAAAGTCCAAAGCAGAGAGGACTTCCCCCGTGCCATCTGAGAACTGGTGTATCTGCTGGACAGACCTCTCTGCTTGGCATGATTCCCATGGCAAATCCATTGCAGAAAATTTAGTCTTATCACCAGGGTGAGCCTCCCTTTCTAGATCTCCTCAGGAAATGGTCGGTAAAACCAGGTGAAGTCGGTGGGACACTAGTTAATTTCTGCACTATGATCATATTTGTGGTGCTTTCACATGTACTTCCTTGACAGAGAGGTCAGCAAAATCTGATACCAACCTGATGTCCCCCTCCCCAAGTTCTGTTGCCCAGATGCCATCCAGTTGGCATGGCATGGCAGCAGGGATGATCCTGTTGTCCTCCACCGTCTCGCAGATCCTGTGCTCTTTGTCTTCCAAGGGTTTAGAGAGTTCTGTATGTGTGCTTTTCCACATGCTTTCTTGTGGTACCTGAGCTGATTTAGCTGGTACCTGCTGCTTCTTTCCCTCTTTGGAAGATGACTGTGGGCAGCTGTTGCTCATAGACAGAGTTGGAGTGGGCACAAAAAGAGAGAAATCTGAGTAGAAAAGGTGGTGGGACACTGAGGCTGGGTGAAAAGGATGGTTGGGCCTCGTGCTTTGGCTCCTTTCTGTGTTTGAGGGAGAACAAGGCTATTTTCGAGGAGCACATGGCTGAGGAGATAAGCCCAGCCTGTGCTCTGTTGTGCAGTATTGGGCTGGAGTCGGATCAGAGGGAAGAGTAGGTCCTGGCTGGAATGCAGGAGGAAGAGCAAGTTCAGGAGAGGAAAGCAGGTTGGGAAAAGGGAAAAAGAGAAAGTGAACCAAACCAAAGGAAGTGGTGGCTTCTCTTAAGGAGAAGGCAGCGGGCAAGAAGCAGTAGGAGTGTGGGCAGAGGGCTTGGGCACCAGAGCTCAGCCAAGGCTTGTGACCCAGAGATAACCAGCAGCAGGTTAATCTGCAGGGCAGTGTGTGTGTCCTGCTGGGTGGCTGGGCATGATAGAAAACTTCCATGTGTGCAAGGCTTGGACACGCTCCCATTGCCTTCAAACGGTGAGCAACCACGTGAGGGCACTTTGATGCACAAAGAAAGGGAGATGCACACCCCAGGGTGACTGCAGTGCCCTGTCATGCAGGCATTAATGAGGTTTTCCTCTCCTAAAACCACAGCAAAGCCAGCTAAATCCACCAGCCTCTCCAGCATCTGTGTTAATTTGGGAGTTGCACAAGCACTGCTGGGGAACAGTCTCCTGGGTGGCTCTTCTAGTTTCTTCTTTCCGGTACATCTCCACTTGCCAGCCACTGAAATTAAAAAACAGGGCATCGGCCCACTGGAAATGCACTGGTTTAGGCGGCTCTGTGGAGGCTTTTGGTGGGAAGTAGGGGTAGGGGAAGGCTGGGTTGGCAGCAGAGGGGATTAGGGTCTGTACACTGGAAATGGGAGAGCTGTGTTCCTTTTTTTTTCCTACTTTCCTTCAGCTGGGGAAGTAGTGTCTGAACTTGGGTCTGCTGGGTGAGTACCAGGGTCCTAAACAAGGCAGCTGCAGTGTGTTTCTCTTGGAATCCAGGTGAGAACAGGATTCCTGCAACAGCTGTCTTTAGTTCTCCTGCTTTATCCTGAGTGTCCTCTCTGGGACACACTGGTTGAGAAGTTTCTCTGTGCTGTCACCCCACAGCCAGGTCAGTTTTGAGGAAGAGAGCCAGAAGCAACCTGCTGTGGGGCACTGGAAGCCACTAATGCCATCCAAAGGCAACAAGGAGGAGCTGGAGACGGGATGCCAGGATGCTGGAGGTGTGGGTGAGACCCAGTCCACCGAGCAACTCAACGTGTCGCGCCTGCGCAGCTCTTCGGTGGAGATCCGTGAAAAGGGGTCTGAGTTCCTGAAGGATGAGCTGCACAAAGCACAGAAGGTAAAGGGATGGCAGCACCTGGGGATGGCAGCATGGATTGGAGCAGTAGGAGTTTTCCTAGAGGTGTTTTAGGAGTCTGGAGCAGGCAGAAGAGGAGAGAGACTGAGCTGAGGTGGCCATAAAGTGCTTTGGAGCAGGACATCAGTTGCTGGATGTGCCAATATCCAAATTAATCCTGGAAACCTACTGCAGGAAGCAGCTCAAGGCAGTGCTTAACTGGGAGCCTCCTTGCTGATGACAAATGAGCTATTCCTGAAATGAGCCTGAAAATCCTGCTACAACTTGTGGAGGGAGGGTGCCTTTGGCACAGAGTTTAGTGACAGGAATCTGGGATCAGGGATCTGTGTCATGGTGGGGAGAAGGGTTGTGATTGACAGGGCAGGGCATCAGCACTCCTGGGATCTGCTGTGGGCTGATGTGTCCTTCTCCATTTCCTCAACAGGAGCTGAAGCTGAAGGACAAAGAATGTGAGAGATTATCAAAAGTCAGGGAACAACTGGAGCAGGAACTGGAGGAGTTAACAGCCAGCCTATTTGAGGTACCACCCTCTTCCTTTTCTTACCCTAAGCTTGCATCCAGCCCCTTTAAGACAGGCTTTCACTGAACTTCCAGCTGTGTCCTCCTACAGTTTCTTCCTTTCCCCTGTTCTTTCCCACTTGGAGAAGCAGAGCTGGGCAGTGCTGCAGGCAGACCCTCAGAACAAGCTCCTGGGGAGCATTTAACAGGTATTTCTTGCCCCTTCTGGCAGCTGTGGGGTGGCATAAAGAGCATAGTAGTTATGGTGACAAAACCAGATGTGGGTGGAGCCAGGCACAGCTCCCTGTCCCTCTCCACGTCCCTCTCCATACCTGCTGGGCAGCTGCTGCGGGATAGAGATGATTCCCTGGCTTGTCTCAGCCCTTGCTGGGGGTGGGGACAGGCTAGGTGTCCTCACACATTCTGCTCCAATGAGTGTCCAGAAGGCCTGTCAGTTGTGGTGGTTTTTTGGTTTGGTTTGGTTTGGTTTTTTGTAATGTGATTCTTGCCAAGGTCTATCCTGGCAAAATCCCATTTACCAGCAGCTCTTATGTCTGGATCTGTCTAGATAGTGAGGAAAGCCAGAGCCCATCTGTACCTTTGACACACAGGGATATGAGGGCCAAGAGAGCAACTCCCCCTTGAAATTTTGGCTGCCTGAGCTCAGGGTGATCTTGGAGATAATAAAGCCAAGGGCTGTTCCCTTCCTTTGGTGGCCTTGGCCAGACCCTGCTTCCAGACAGTGCTGCGAGGAGGACCCAGGTGGGATTCATCCCACTCCCCTCTTTCTGTGGGAGAGCCTTTTAAGCCAGTTTCTACCATTTGGCCCCTGCCTGAGCTCCATGTCCTGCTGTGTCCCAGCCGTGCCTGGAGCAGTGAGGACTGGCTGCTCCACAAGGGAAGTGGGAGCAAAGTGCAGTGAAACCCAGGCAGGAGCAGTGACCTCACCAAGATGTGGAGAAGCAGGTCTGGATCAGGATCAGTGTCACAGACAGCAGGGCAGGGGCAGAAATAGGTTTAGTGATCAACCAGCAGGGCTGCAGTGACTGGGGTCAAGCCAGGAAGCCAAGCTGAGGGGAGGCTGGAGTCAGAGATGTTGGAATAGGGGCACCCACAGCCCCTGCCACAGCACCCATAGCAACACAGCTGAGTGTTCATGTTAAAGCCTCAGCTTTAAGCAACTCCCAAGGGCAAGGAAGGGCAGGCCCTTGCTTCTGACATTCTTCAAGCAGCCCCTATCAGTGAGAGAGATGACCTTGGACTAGTCAGCTAAATGCTTTAGTTTAACTGACTACAATCCTTAGCAGGGGGTGCACTCCAGACTCTGGCACTGGGAGCGTTCTCTGGGAAATTCTGGGGGAAGACGCTTCACAGCTTGCAGAACAAATCCCTTGGATGTGGCAGGGATGGCTGTCCCCTTGCTTGCTTGCCTGGATCATGTGATATGGCATAGCTGTGACCTGCCTTGGTGGCTTTGTGTAACAAGCAGACTAAATTCTCTCTGGTGCAGGAAGCCCACAAGATGGTGAGAGAAGCCAACACTAAACAGGCTGCAGCAGAGAAACAGCTGAGGGAGGCCCGGGGCAAGGTGAGAACTGCTCTCTGGGACTTGATTTTTGGGGTAGCCTGGTGGCATCACTGCCCAGACTGGCCACAGTGCTGCTTGTTGGCTGGAGGAGAGTAAAGTGCTTGCATTTGCTCTTCTCCCTTTTCAGCAGACACTGGAAAGGGACTAAAGTGAGGGGAAAGAGGGATCCTTGCAGTCTGTTCCTGATCTAGCTCCTTTTTGGGAAATGGATGCCAGGGAAACCACAGGGAACTGATAAGCTGTTTAATCGTCACAGCTGTGGGAATGGATAGAGCAGGGACCTGGGGCATCGGAATTTCCTGGCAGGGCTGAATCACAACGTTGCTTAACTCAAGAGAGAAGTTTCTTTGGGGTTATTTGGTCTGAAAAGAGCCTGGGGCAAAATGTGCTGACTAAAGGGGCAGAGGGATGGGATCCCAAATAGCTGCTGTTTGTTTAAAATTCTGGGTGGTGCTGGGCACTGGGAGGGATGGGGAGAAGCTTCATGGCTGGGCTTGTAGCTGGTTCTCTGTGGCTTCAATATGTGATGGGATGCAGCAAACTTGAGTTCAGCAGGTGTTGACTCTACCTGGTCTCCTCAGATTGACATGCTGCAGGCAGAGGTGACAGCTCTGAAGACGCTGGTGATCACGTCCACACCTTCCTCCCCCAACCGGGAGCTGCACCCTCAGCTCCAGAGCCCTTCCAAAGCCGGCTTCAGGAAGGGCCATGGGCGAAACAAAAGCACCAGCAGTGCCATGGTCTCAGCTGCCAGACAGAATGTGTCTCCAGAGCCAGTCACTCGGGAGTGCAGAGAGGTGGGTGAGGGCCACTCGCTGACTCGGCCTCAGAGCCACTGCTGGCACTGTGCTCAGGGGCTTCCTGGAGAAATCTGTGGTTTCAGTGCTGGAAGAAGCTGTTTGTGTGGTAACATGCCTTGTTCCCTAAATTTTTGCTGAGGCAGGCTGTGGTGGGTTTCCTTTTGTGGGTATTTCCTCTTTGGAGGCGTGTTGGAGGCTGTGTCAGGACAACAGCAGTTGAGGGATCTGTGGGGGACATGGGCAGATCCAAGTGCTGTGAGTTGCTGAGCAGAAGCCAGTGGTTTACTGCACCTTGGCAGATGAGTCCATAGCCTGTTCTGGCATGACATGGTAGTGGTTCTTCTTCCTGCTCAGTTTGGCTTGGACACCAGGACACCTTCATCAGCTAGTAGCCTCTCACTTGTCCTGTGTTCTTGCGCATGGCACTGTTCTCCCTCTTTGCAGAGTATATATTTAATTATATTTAATTCCTTCCTCACTGGAAGGAGCTGGGCAGAGAAGCATCCAAAGCATTGTGAATAACTTCCAAACAAGCCCTGTTTAATTAAGGTGATCCTTCGATAGCGCCCCCCCAAACCTACTGTGACCATGAGTGTAACACTTCTTCCTGCTACCAGGATCTTTCCTTCTGGGAATTTCCCACTAGCCAGATGTGTACACAGCTGTCCTGGGGAGCAAAAAGGAGGCAACTTATGGTACTTGGTCAGGAAGAATGAAAATGAGTGAGAATGTGGTGGGGGAATATATCTCACTGGTGATTTTTTTGGGGCAGCTGCTGCCTCTGTCATGAAGAATTGTTGAGGAAACACCAAGGACTTGTTTGTTTAAGATCTGGACCTGTCATTTCATCATGGAGGCAACTTCCACAGGGTGCAGATATCTTGGGGTCTAAAATCCCAGGGCTCAGCTTCCAAAGTGACTAATAATGTTCTGTATCAAGGATGGGGTGGTTTCTTTGTCTCTCAGATTCTTTAATGGCCTATGTGAGAGGTGATAAAAGGGAATCTGGCATTCAGAGGGTTGGTGCCCTATGAAAAAGATGTGTCCCATCCTAAATTGAGCCTAAAAATGGCAATATCTGTTCCCTTTTTGCACCCTAAGCTAAAATCTAAAGGTGTGACTTGTGCCCCTGTGATGCCTTGAGCAGCATGCTCAGTTCCTGAAGGGCAGGACTTGAGCCTTTCTTCCTATCTCCTGTTTTACCTCACGTTTTTTACCTCCCTTCTTACCTGTCTCACTCTAAACCTTTTCCTTCACTGTGTCTCTCCCTCTGCCCTCCAAGTCTGGGTTCCCTGCTCTCCTCTCCTTGCTCCTTTGCATCCTCCCTGGGAAGGCCATCCACATCACCTATGAGCCAGGCTGGCAGGCCTTGGGAGCAGATGCTTCCTCCTCCTCCTCACGGCAGGTAACCAACCTTTCTGGGGATAGGTGGGACCCAGCTACCTCTCATGCTTCCAGCCTTTCAGTTCCAGCTCCCTTTTATGCTAACCTCCATTTTTTTTCCTTTTGTTTTGTTTTTCTCCATTTGTTTTTCCATCTTGTGGCTCTGAAGCTGTTCCTGGTCCGAGGTGAGCAGTCTCCATGGCACAGAGGGAGTGTGCTGGAATCCAGACTTTCCCAGCTGTGTTCACTCATGTGCTTTGTGTTGCTCAGCAGGGTTTCTTTAGTTTTATTGTTTCCTTTCAGCAGCTTTAACATAATTTGCTGGGCTTGTAGGAGATGCCCTGTCAGTCAAGTTGGTGGTTTGGCTAATGATCCATCTGGGACTTAAATGCCAGGTCCCAAAGTCTCCCATTGCCACTGTGCTTTTCCACTCAGCTGCTCTCATCATTCCTGACATGGGTCGAGTGGGAACTTGGTCTGTTCAGTGGTTGTGTGGTGGCTTTTCCTGCATCACGGGTGCTGGAGGAAGATGGGATAGAGAGATACCTGCAGGTTTCTGGCACAATAAGCCCAGGATGGCTGTGGCTCAGAACTGTTACAGAACTGCTGGTGGGTGGGAGATGAGAGGCAAGGGAGCTTCTCTCAGACACTTCCGTGGTGTCTGAGCCTCTCTAGATGCCAAAGGAGATGTTTTGCAGTGCGGTTACCTGCACAGTAGCATTTACCTTCTGATATGAAATCTTTTCTTGTGACCACCCTGCCACTTCCCTTTCCTCTTGGACACTTGCTGCAGGTCGACTCCATCTTATTTGCCGAGTTCGAGGCCTGGAAGGAATCTCCAACCTTGGATAAATCCTGCTCCTTCCTGGACAGGATTTATCGAGAAGACATAGGACCTTGTCTGGACTTCACTAAGCAGGAGGTGAGTGCTGGAAAAGCAGCTCCAGAGGGTCACCTTTGTGGAGGTGACCTTGGCACGTTCGTACCCGCTCTCCCTTCTGTTTGCCACAGCTGTCGGAGCTGGTGCGAGTGGCTGTGGAGCAGAACCCCCTCCCCATCGAGCCAGTGGCTTCCCAGACACTCCCTGTGGTGAAGGTGGCAGCAGAAGAGTGTGGTGGGCCAAAGTAAGGACCGTGTTTACCGTCTTTTGTCCCCTCCTTGCTGTTGGTCGGTTTGTCCCGTGCCGTGGAGTTTGGCCGGGCCTCGCTCAGTCGCTGAGGTGAACAGTTCAAAGGGCTCAGCTGAGTGTTCTCCAGGCTTGTGAGCAGTTGGAATTTAGCTCTGCTCTGCCTGAGAAGAGGAATGAGCTTAGCTCAGCAGATGAGCTGTTGACTGGTTTTGGGGCTAACCTGTGACGTGTTAGTGCCCTTGACCGGGGGGGTGGGTTTTTTCCCTTGCCTTGAGGCAGCAACTTGTTTATGTTCTCTGAAGGTGTTTGTGCATAAGCAGGAGTGAAAGGGTTAAATCAGAGCTGCATTCTTGCATCTTGTGAGGTTTGAGCTCACCTTGCATCCTGACCTTGCTGGTGGGTTTGAACCTAGGTCAGAAGAGATCTCCTTTTGCTGCACATCATCTTTACTACCTGATGCTGTCACCTTGCCACCAGAATTTGGGGCTGTGGCTGCTTCAGAGCTTGTGTGACTGTATCTGCTGTGACAAACAGCTTGGGATCACCTCAAGGAAGAGGAGCACTAGCAGATATGACATGGTATTCCAGATGAAGGAGGGGTTTTTATTCAGCTGATGAATTCAAGTTCCATCAGGGCTCCCTTTCTCTGTCCTTCCCTCCCTTACCTTCAAGCAGAGCACCCCCTAAAGTGTCCCTGTGAGGGCAAACACAGGTTTCCTACCACGCTCCTGCATTTTCTGCCATCTCTAGGCAAATTGCTCTGAGAACAACCCATCCTGTCTTTATCCTTATCACTTTCCTTTTGCGTTTTATTTTTTGTCTTCACAGTGGGTTCCGGTCACAAATTGTAACGTAAGTGAAGCATTTATTGTTTAGCCAGTGATCAAAGATCTCTAATCCATTAACAAGTGACTAACTCAGTGCAATGTAGCTGCTTGGAGGCTTGAGCTGAACTGAGCTAACTCTTTAACCCTGTTTAATTTCCAGGCAGGATGGTGAGGAGTTTTGCTATTGGGAATAAAAAAAATCCAAAAGGAATTTGTTTACTTTTGTTTCCCAGGTGTAAAACACTGATTTTCGTGGCATTTTTGGTTACCTCTAAATATGGTTGTGACAGCTGTAGTTACACCGAGTCACCAAGAGTCTCTTTTTTCTATGTGCTCCAATGTTGAATTTTGTGACTTAAAAATATCTTGTTATTGGTCATCCTACACTTCCTGAGAATTTAATCTCCTTAAGTTGTGATAATATTTGGTCAGTGATTGCTTCTCCTTGCATGTGGACTCCTACAGCCCATGCTTCCACTCTTGGCTAATATTTGCCTTGATAGCAGTGGAAAACAAGCCCAGAGACATGCTCAGAATCTCCTTGAAACATCTGCTCCCATCTGTTGGCACCTTCCATGGCTCCCAGAGCAGTTTTTTGCAGCTGGGGAGTGATGTTGCTCTTTCCACATGCAGGAACTGAGCCTCTGAGGAATGTGGTGATAACTATGCAATAGAAAATTCTGCTTTACTGCTTAAAGTGAGGATGAAGGAAAGGCAACTGGCTGGTGATGGAAACCATAATAGAAGAAATAACAGAAAAAAAATGGCAGAAAAAGAGAGGCTGTTGACTGTTTTGAAAAGACTGTTTTTGTCGCTCTGAGTGAAATCCTAAAATAGTGAAGCCAAGCTTCTTCGCTGTCTGCCCAAGAAGGGATTGGCTTGTCCTTATGGGTTGCAAGCCTCATCCAGAGCCATGTGGCTTGTTTTGAGTTCTCAGCATGAGCAAATTCTGCTCTAATGCTGGATTTACCAGTTTTGAGGCCAGGTTTGATGTCCAGCCAGCATGTTTGCATCCCAGCAGGAAAGCTGATACACCTGAGTCTTCCCTGGAATGTGGAGGAGATATGCAGGGACCAGATGACATTACACTCTGTTTTCTGTAGCTTTCTCTTGGGCTCTGTGCCAGGGAAAGGGTACAGCTTGGTGTATTTGGATATGGAATAATTCATGATTCCAGATATTTAACTCTCCTAACTTGCCACTTATGGAATCTTTTAGGAGCAAAAGGCTCTATCAGCCATGGGGTTTTTTTCATGCTGACTGACCCAGATCTGGCTTCTGAGCTCCCCCTTCCACCTCTTGAGATTCCTAAATTCCTGATCTCTGCTGTGCCACTGGATTGTTGAAGTGTTTTTTCCTTTCCTGGCAGGAAATGTGCTCTAAGTGGTCTCCCCAGGACCTGCAAGCACCGGATCATGCTGGGGGATTCTGGGAATTACTACTACATTTCACCTTCCTGCAGGGCCAGGGTGAGTCCTTTGCCTTCCCAGGGTGCCTTGACCCTCCAAAATTGTTCCATACCCTGAGATGTAGGAGCTCTTGAGGGTCAGCCTTCAACTTAAGGAAGACCTGTGGGATTTGAGTTTGTTCCTGAGCTCAGGGTGGCTCTTGATTTATAATTAGGGTGCAGATCCAGCCTTGCTTATGCTTTCAGACAGCCCTCAGTGTGTTCACTTTCCATGGTTTCGTTCTGTACAGGGCTTTGGTTTTTTGGCTTTATTATTATTTAATTCCCCTTTGTAAAATACAGTAATTTTCTGCTCTTTAAATGCTCTTACTGTTCTAGTCAGATCCATGGCTCGGGTGGTTGTGAGAACAAGTTGTTCTTTCTGTGGAGGGAAGGCAAAAGGTGGATAATTTATTAATGTTGCTGTTGGGGCTTTGATTCAATGGAGCATTTTAGAAGTTTATTCTTTCCTGAGCTGCATATCACAAGAGCTGATCCTGAAACATGTGACCATTTTGGATACAAAAAGTTGTTTTTTGTGCACAGACTTGACTCATTTGTGTCACTTGCCCCAAAGCAGTGTCTCAAATCTGCAGTAGATTGGAGTTGTTCCATGTTGTGTCTCATGGATAATGTAATGTCTAGGGATGGGATGGAAGATACCCAGATGGTTTTTTTAAATTTTATTTTTAACCAGCTTTCATCCTACCTGGTGATATGTGGGACTATTTCTCAGATGCTGAACACTGAGCTCTGCTGCTGAGTGCAGGGCAGGCCTTTTGGCAGAGCAGTTCTGGAGCTAATTCCTGATTTTTCTCTTTTCCCCTCTCTCTCAGATCACAGCAGTCTGCAACTTCTTCACATATATCCGCTATATCCAGCAGGGCTTGGTGAGGCAGGATGGTAAGAGCTGGTTCCAGTGGGATGCTTTCTGTGGAGGAATTAAGAGGTGCTATTCCAAATGACAGGAGTGGGGCCAGCTCAGGGTCCCCGCAACTCCCTGTGTCTTTGAGAAGCAGTTAAATGACAAAAGAAAAACATGAGGGAAGGAAGCAAAGCACCAGTTCCTGGGAGCTTTGCCCTGGGGTGGTACTGATGGATGGTGACCTGATGGGCATGTCCTGCTTCCCTGACTTTGGGAAGGAGCCTGGCTGGGCTGCACTGGGAGGTAGTGTCCAGCTGTGCCTTGCTTACTGATTTTTGGTTGTTTTTTCCCTTCTCTTCCCCACACCCTTTTGCTTTGCAGTGGAGCTGATGTACTGGGAGGTCATGCGGCTCCGGAGGGAGATGTCCCTGGCCAAACTTGGATTTTATCCCAGTGAGATGTAAGCAGAGGCCTGAGCATGGAAGGAAACTGCTCCAGTATGAAGGGCTTTGTGAGTGCAGTGCCTGCCCTGCAATGGGCCTTTCTCCTTCCCCACCCTCTCTCTGCCTGAAGCTGACCAAGAAGCACAACTTCCACCTTCAGCTGTCCACCTGCTCCAACTGTGACTGGAATGCAGCTTCCACGCTGTCCCCTCGGAGCTGGGCTGGCCCTGACTGCTCTGAGGTGGCCATCTATAGACTTTGGAGTCTCCTATATGCAGTGTATATCCATTTTTTTAAACTTTTGTTTTTATATGCAGTCTTCTTTGGCATTTTCTGAGGAGGGCAGGAATTGTGGACCTTCCCTGTAAGCCAGTCTGTCAGGACAGATGCTGGCTGTCTGTCCCTGTGCCCCACTCGTTTTTTGGGGGTACTCCGAGGTCCTGCTGACCATACTCCCATAACAGCCCAGAAAATGCCAGCAGAGCACAATAATCTTACGGAGAGCCATGAACAGTTTGTTTCCAAGTACTTCCTTGTTCCTTTTAAAGGAGCCTGTGAGAGAAGCTTTCTGCCAACGGAGTCACAAAGAAGGAATTGTTCCTCTTTTTAGCTTGCTGTTTGACTCTGGGTTATCCAGGCTGGGGAATAGCTGGAGCTGTGCACCTGGGGCCTTCAGCAGAACAAAGGGAGCAGGAAAATTCCCTAACTCCCAGCTGGCTGCAGTCAGTGCAGGATGTTTTCTCCTGGACTAGGAAATCTGCTGCAGTTGTCACAGGCAGACCTTATTACAGACCCTGTGACAGTTCTTGGTGTAGGAGTCCGCCTTGGTGCTCTTAAACACAAACCTCACCTACAAACATGCCCTGGAGCTGTTCCTGATCCTGAGGGAGCTTTGGGCAGTCCTGTTTGCATTGTTTAGGTAGAATCCGTTTGCCCAGGTTGGGTTCTTCATGTCCCAGAAGGAGCATGCCCAGGCTGGGCAGTCCTGAAGCCCAGAGATTTCCTCCCTCCTATTACACTAGACCTAGAAATGCCCATTCCAGTGGGAATCCCAGCTTCTCCTGGGCTGCCATCCCCAGTGAGGGAATTGAGACATCTTTGTGTGCATGTGAGGGGTGTGGCTGCAGTTCCTGTATCTTCCAAATTGTGCTAGGAGGGAGGGATGTCACTAAAGCTGTTGGAACACACAGATCTGCCACAGACCCAGGTTTCTTAAAGCCGTGACAGTGGTTTGTAGCCAATTTAGCCTTTTTTTCAGTGTCTGTGGAGCAGCCACCACCCACCCTGGGGTTTCCATCTCTGACTGGCACATCGCCCTGCCCAGCACCAGATCACCATCCTCAGCTCCAGAACCTTCAGCTTCTCCTGAGGGATGCTACAGTAAGAACTCAGTTTTATTCCACTAAAGACACAAACTGAGCTGCTGTGGTTTTGCCCAGAGGATGGAGGAATAGACAGGGAAGGCAAAAGCTTTGGTTTCCCCAGCTGCAGATTTCAGCTCAGGTAAATTCTATCCCTGGAATTTCCCCTTTTATCTGCTCCCCCTGACCTTTTGATCTCTCCATGTCTTCCTGTGCCATTGGCTGCTACATTGCACAATATGTGGCTGCATTGCAGTGCTGGGAATGAGGTGATCTCTCAAGGTAGGAGATGTTTTGGTTTGTAGGATTTTTTTCTTCCCCTCAGTGTCACATTGTAAAGCACTTTTGAGATGAAAGGAATTGGAGAAATGCCATGTGTGAAGTTGTCTTACACTTGAAATGAAGCAGAGAGAACAATTTGTAAAGGAAAATGAAGTCACTCCGTTAACTGCGGGATGGTTGCACCCTGCTCTTTAATAATGGAAAATAAACATTTGCTATTAACCTCTAAAAGTCTGGTTGGAGGTTGACGGGTTGAGTTGGTTGGGGTGCTCAGTAGCCAAGAGAAAATGAAGTTTAGCTGATATTCTCTGAGCTTCTCTGGCCCCTGTGTGACCTCTTGGATTGGGTTTTAATGTTTTTTTTCATCAGTGTGTCCCTCCCATAGTTGGCTGCTCCCTGACTTCATGAGGGGAATAAGTGATAGTGTTTTCATGCCAAATGGAAGGGTTTTTTCCCACAGGTGGATGAACATTTCTTCACAGAATCCCAGAATGGTTTGGGTTGGAAGGGACCTTAAAGCTTATCTTGTTCTAACCCCCTGCCATGGGCAGGGACACCTTCCACTAGTTCAGGTTGCTCCAAGCCCGGTCCAGCCTGGTCTTGAAGATTTCCAGGGATGGGGCATCCTCAGAGAGCCTGTTCCAGTGCCTCACTGCCCTCACAGGGAAGTAACACTTATGACAGGACAGGTCCCTGTTTTTCGTGAGGGAAGCTGAGGTTTCTCCTGCTCAATTTGCTGGCTTGGAGCATTGCATGGGATATGCTGCTGTCCTGAAGGCTGGTTAATTCAAGGATCTTTCTTCCTCTGTCCTTGCAGGGCCAAGCAGTCTCTTGCTTTTCCTAACATCAGGTAGAGATTTTAGGCCACTCTGGTTTCTCTAAAATCACTTGCTCTCCTCCTGTATTCAGCTCTGGACATTAACATGGAAGATCTCATCATCATCTCTTGGGGATGACAGTGGAAGGAAAAAGCAAAACATCAAAGACCTTTGGGAAAGCAAGCTGAGGTACAGCCAGAGCAGAAAACGGGATTAGACCCCATGGAATAGTGGTTCTGGGATCTGGAGCTGCTTTTTACTGTAAACTTCTATGAGGGGTGGTCAGGCCTTGGCTGTTTTTTCCTGCTTGGATGCACCCTGAGATCCCATCGCTGGGGGTTGCTATGCCAGCCAGAAGCATCACCATGACCTTCACATGATGGGAAAGGCAGGAACTGGAGTCCTGTGTCCTCCCTACTCGGAGTGCCCTGACACACTCCAAGCTCAGCCCCTAAATCCCCCTGTCACCTTTTCCCTTCACATTCCTGTGTAAACATGGGCATTGCCTCCCTCTGACGGGATGAGCTGACCTCATGCTGCTCTCGGATTTCCCTGGTCAGTGAGGGTGTGTGAGGTCTGTACTGGCTGGATTCACACTCCCGCGATGGCATTTGAGGAGGGCACTGGAGGCAGTTCAGTGCCCAACAAGTGCCCAGAAGGAGGGGCTGCCACATCTGGAGAACCCTAACAGGTCCGAGGGAGAGCAGTCTCCAGAAAGAGATATAATTTTAAATTCAAAAGTAATACAAGAATCTGGTGGTGCAGCGCGGTCAGGCAGCCACGAGAGGGCACAGACAGCCCAGACAGGACTGTCCTCCCTCCTGATCCTCCCTCCCTGTGGGAACGGAGCATTTCCAGACCCCTCCTGGCTTCTACCTCAGTGAAGACCTCACACCTGCTGACCTGTCCCCTGCAGCCCCTTGACAGGGAAACAGCTTCCCTGTGCTGCTGGAAATGGGAATTGGTGTTAGATGGGTGTAAGTCTGTAATGTGGGAAGGAAGGATTTGGATTTCTTGAAGGGGAATGTTGCAAAGCCATGAGGGTGGCCAGGTGACGGACTGGGAGTGTTTGGCTGGTCTTCAGGTGTAGTGTCAGCAGGGATTGCTGTCAGAAACTTTCCTGTAGCTGGAGCTGAAGGACAATGAGCAAAACTATCGAAGAGGATTTAGTTTTCATTCCCCTCTAAATCCTTTTTCCCTGTCATAAAGTGAGAGTTTGGGAGAGAAAATGGTTAGAAAATTGTGCACAATGAGGTGCTTTTAAGTATTTAGATGTTAATACACAAGAGGAGAATTTAGGGGACTTGGTATGGCAAGAAGAGAGAAAGCAGGATAAGGGACCTTGAGAATTGGTTACTCCTGGCAATTCCCTGTGTGTGCTAGTCCTGTCTTTTCCCCTGCCTGCAGAGTTCCTCCAGGTTTGCTCAAGGCTGTAAATCAGGCTTTGCTCAGCGGTCAGGCTGTCCCCACATGCTCTCAGAGCTGTTTGTTTCCAGGAACCGACAAATGAAAGATTTTTTTTTTGTTTGCTTGCTTGCTCCAGGTGCAATCAAGAAAAGCGGGAGAAGATAAGCAGCTGGCCTCAAAAAAGTCAGATGTTTCAAAGCTTCCCGCAGGATGAATCTATCAAAGCAATGGGAATTATTGCAGGATAGGCAGCACTGTGTCAGCCATGGGGAAATTCCAGGCATTCAGGGAGAGTGGCCCTGCCAGGAAAAGTCAAATCTGGCTGCACTTTCAATGTGCACGTGGCACTGAGGGCTGGTCAACTCTGCCAAAGCAACACATTCCCAACAGGAGCAATCCCTGTGGTGGCACTGGTGCTGGGAGCCAAGGGGTTTGCTATTTATCATGTCAGTATTCTCATGTTTGTACGAGGGTTATTGGGCTGAGCTGGAAGGTTGACTTGAGCCAGGCTGTGGAGGCAGATGGACTTTGTGCTGATTTATAGAAGACTCAGAGAATTGCCAGAACAGGCCCCCAGGGGGGTAATTCCCTGCTTTTCCCTGAATTTGCAGGGGATAAACTGCAATAGTGAGATGACAGGTGTGTGGTGCACAACCCAAAGATGAGAGAAGTGAGAATTTTACCTTGTTTGGGGGTGGATTAGAAGGAAAAGGGAGCATAGAGACAATGAGACCAGGACTAGTTGTGGGCTGGATGTGAAGGGAGAAATGGGTTATAGAATGGCCTTAAATTGAATAGATTAGATTTTAGATTTAGATAGATAATAGATTTACATTAGATATTAGTTAAAAATTTTTCCCTGTGAGGTTGGGGAGGCCCTGGCACGGGTTGCCCAGAGAAGCTGTGGCTGCCCCATCCCTGGAAGTGTTCAAGGACAGCTTGGACAGGGCTTGAAACAACCTGGTCTAGTGGAAGGTGTTCCTGCCCATGGCAGGGAGTTGGAACTAGAAGATTTTTAAGGTCCCTTCCAACCCAAACCATCCTGTGATTCTCTGATAAATCTGAGCTCACAATGGTGCCTTGGCTCAGGAGATGTGACAGCACTACCTCAGATGATGGAGCAGAGAGACAGCAGAGAAAGTTTGGGAAGGAAAAGGTAATCCTTAACTTTCTTTTGCCTTAAACTTGAAATGATTCCCCTTGTAGGAGAAGACGTCAGCTACAAGGGAAAAGCTGAATCACTGGTACAAATGTCGTTACTTACAAGTAACATCAGTGACAGAAAAGGAATTCGCAGCCATTCGTGCAGGAGTAGTAATTCCCAAAACAGCTCCCTGTGGGACTGTCTCAGAGAGCAGAGCTGTGAAAAGGAAGCTTTGCAGTGAAAACTCCAGCACTCATTCCTGTGCTACTTACAGAGCTTTTAGTGGGGTTCACGTGGGCACACAGAACCCCATGCACTTTTTAACCAAAGACTTTGTTTGTGTTTCTAATTTCTGCTTCCACTCCAGTTCTGGGACTGCAGGCTTTCCTCTGGCAGATGTAGATGGGATATTGGCTCAAGGACAGCTCTCTGCCCTTAATTCCCCTGGCTCATTGGGCTAATTCTGCTCTGTTAATCACCTTAGAGTCAATTTAAGATGCTTCCTGATGACGGACATGTATGTTGGTCACAACTGAGAGGCACCTTTGCTCTTTCTGCATCAGCAACTGGGGCTGGAAGATGTGACTTCCCTGTTGCCCTTGGTGATCTTCCTCTTTGTCAGGCCATCAATGCCAGTTGGCAAAAGCCACAAAGAGGGAATGAAGCACTAATCCAACTTTCAGTCAAACTGAAGGCAGTGACAAATATTGTCCTGGGGGGAATTGGAGCATTGGGAATTGTCTAATGGTCCCATGATGCTTTTGGACAGGGGAAGTGTTGCATCCACCCAAAAGTCTTGGCACCTCTGGCTTCCATTAGTCCTAAAGCTTCTTCTACACAGGAACATTAACAGAGGAAATATGAGTTCCAAATCTTGTTCATCTAGCACTGAAATTATGTGTGTGTGTGTGTGTGGAGAAGACCTTATGTGTAGTGTTTGAGGATGTCAGGCTGGTCAGTGCCTGACCCAACTGAGTTTTGAAAGCCCAGAAATCATTTTTATGTCATCAGCTGTGGTGTCACTATTTCCTCTTCATCATGCTGGTTTTAAAACCCTGGATTTACACATTCAAAATGCACAAATGTCTTAAACCCTCTTACTGCAGCACATGGGACTCATCCCTGTCTTAACACTGCCACATTCAGGAGAACCTCTCTGAAACTCGTGTCCATTTACCACATAATTCAATAGAGGCCTTGAAGATTGCCCCTCTCTGTTAGGAAACATTGCAGAAAGGAAATTGCTTCTTAATCTCTATCTTCTGTTTTGTGCATGATTCCTTTGCTCATCACAGAACAGAGCAGACTCAACATCTCTTCGCTTTTTATTTATTTTATTTTATTTTCAGTTATGCAGACAGAATTTATCACAGTCGTGGAGTGGTTTGAGTTGGAAGAGACTTTTAAAGCTTATCCAGTCCCTGACTTGCCCAGAATCTCCTGCTGCAACATTCAAGCCCAGACACTTTGTTATTATTGAGTTGTTGACTTTTTGCAGGATGTGAAAGGAGTCATGATGCTGGAATGCTGCTGGAACACTGGATTCGTGATGCCTTGCCCTCTAGTGCTGTTGGATTGCATTTCAGTTGCATACTTTCACCAAATCAGGTGCTTAATTTTAGCATTTGGTGAGCTCCAGCATGATGAGGAGACAAGAATGAGCACGGGATGGAATTGGAATTGGCAGCAGCACTTTGATTTAGGTTCACACTTTATTTCTTTGCCCCTCCCCTGGGTGATGGTGAAGCACAGGTTGTGCTGCTTTGGTCCATCTGGGATTATGAGTGTGGCCTGAAGGTTTTATAGACTTGCAAAGGGTGGTAATTTCAGCTCAGAATGATTTACCTGCAGATGCTCATTGGGCCAGGCAGGAGCATCTGGCTCCAGCCAGAAACCAGCAGCATCTTCTGCAGCTCAGGACCCAAGTTTTTAGGTTTTATCAGGCACCTTGTAAGCAACAAGGGAATAAAATACACGGAGGAAGAGCAGTTTGGTTCCTGTGTTTTATATAAAACCATTTGCTGCATAATGAAACAGATCTGAGGCCAAGATAATTAAGGCCAATGAAATTAATCAGGCAAATGAACCAGACACACCCATTTGAAGGAGGATGGGTGCAATCACAGGCAATTAAGGTGATTAATCCTCTCATTGTCATTCACACATCCAGCACCTGAATGTAGTTGTGTGGTTACCTAACTGTGCTCAGAAGGGTGCTGCAGGCGAAGGTGGCGCTTCCAGGGGAGGATTCTTCTCCTTGACCTTCTCCCACCCCTTTCTTGGATTTCTGCTGAGCTTCCCTTGACCTGAGTAGCCTGAGCTTGACCTTCAAACCTCAGTTGTGGGTGGAAGAGCTCTGATACAGGATATTTAAGAAAACATCATCACTTACCCCAGTGGAAATTTGCACCCACCAACCTCTGGGGGGGTTAGATAACACTTTTATTTATATTTTACATAAGGGTTGCCATGGGGGCAAAATTCATCTCCTGGCTTGCTTTTGAATTCTAGAATCCTGGATTATTCCCTTCATCATATTTATAACATAGTTTTCAAATGGATAATGAGTCTGTGTGGAAAGGTGAATGGAATATTTGCCTTCACCTATACCCTGTTCTGTAGAATCTGCAGCCAACCAGGACAGAGGGATGGTGTAAGCAGGACCCGGTGTGGAAGTGTTTCTATATGATATTTGAGGAATTCAGACTAATTTTTCAAGCTGCCCAATAAAATATATGATAATATGCTGTAACCCAGCACAAATGCTGAATGAGGCTCAACTTGTCATTTGAACAGAATTTGAAAAACCTGTTGCAAAAAGGGAGCTCATGGATGTGGCTGCCCCATCCCTGCAAGTGTCCAAGGTCAAGCTGGAGAAACCCGGTCTAGTGGAAGGTGTCCTTGCCTATGACAGGGAGTGGAATGAGATGGACATTAAAGCTCCTTTCCAACCCAAACCATTTTTGGATTCTGTGTAACAAGGTACCTCCTTGCACCATCTGGGTAAAAACTGCATGTCTGAGCACCATAAACGTGTTTCTTACCATGCTGATGCCAAGGTATGTTGTGAAACAGTTTCCTGAGACATCTGGAATTGGGCCACTGCAGAGTTAGTAAAACATTTTTTTTAAGCAGTATTGTTAATGACCTTCAAGATCATCAAGTCCAACTTAGGTGCATTTTATGTTGATTTCCTGCTTTAGATTTCTGACTATCCCTGTGCTAATTTCAAAGGAGGGAGGTGAAAAGGTTTAATTTCAAGTAACCTGTGGAAGTTTTAGTCTTTCACAGCTTAAAACCAGATAAATTAAGTACAAAAATCACCCAGCCAGGTGTACTGGGTTCACAGGGGCAGAATGGCTTCCCAATTCTCAGCTGAACAATGGGCTGACCTTTGGATAGGCTAAGTCTAAACTCGTGGAAGATAAAACTTGGAAAACTGTCTGTCTTTCCGCATTTCAGCTAATACCTGAAGATTCCCAGCAGAGATACAAGCCCTGTGGAAAAGCAGAGAGTGTTTTAGTGTAGGCATCTTAATCCAGAATGTGATCCCAGAACTTCCAGGTCCTTGGTCCCATTTGAGCCATCTTCCTTTGGAATGCTTGGAGGTTGAAGCCATGTTGTCCTGGGATGCTCAGCCATCCTGGGAACAGCTGTACTCCCAGGGAAGAAAGCCAAGTCTTTATTGATTTGTAACAGTTTATTTTTGTGTAACAGCTCCCTGTGTTTGTATTAGGGGAACATGTTTATTCTAGGATTAAATAAAAGTCCCAAAAATGGGGCAAGTAGGGTCATTTTCTGGTTTGACTGCTCACAGGACCTGCTCTCTGGTTTACCTATGGAGCAATTCCTGTGTACTCTGGTAAAGCTGTAGTATTGATTTAAGGTGGCAGATAAGCCCAGTCTGGCCTTCCCCAACCATCATTTAGTCTCGTGACTGGGGCAGCCTCTGTGCTTCCCACTCACAGCCTCAGGCTCTCATGCTGCTCCAGCTGATGACTGAAGTCTAAATGGGGTTATTTGGAAAAACCAACAGTCTCCCAGTTCTCCTAAAGCCTCTGGGCTGACCTCAAGTCCACTGATGGCCTTGTCCTCAAATGGTGTTTGACGTAAAACCCACTGATGGTGTTGACCTCAGGCTGACCAAAGCACTGGATCCAAGCTGTGAATTAGAAAAGCTGCTCACCATAGCCCTGGATGAGCCATGAATGGGCAGAAAATTGACTTTTAGAAAACTGTAAAATGCTTCTATGAAGTTTTCACAACAATTTGGTTCTCGGTTGCCTCCCCGAACAGTCTGGAGGCTGAGTTTGGATGGCCAGGCAAATCTTTGACAGGAAGGACTCCTTTCCTTTGGTGCTTATTCCCAGGATGAGGGAAAGCAGCACCATTGTTCCTGAGCTGTGTGAAGGCTGATAAAGAAACCTATCCATGCTATAAAAGTAATTTCCCTAAATTCACCATGTGAAGTGCAAAAAGGACTTTCCACAATCACCAGCTCTGTAAAAAAAAAACAAAACAAAAGAGTTAGAAAAACCAAGAGAAACCATAATCAGCAAGTCTGATCCCAAACCCTTTTTCAGAGTTTGCTTCCACATTGTTCTTGGTTTGGGGTCTGATTTTAAATTGATAAAAACAGCAGTTACAAGATTAAATCTGAAATTCAGGCTTGAATCCCCCTTTATGCCAAATCTTGCCCTGACCCTTTCAAAGCTCTGAATTTGAACATCATAAGTTCTTGATCTCAGAGCAAAACCTGGATGGTGACATTCCTGCCCTATAAATGTCCCACCTTCCTTAGTTGGCATCTCCATGCCACCTGCTAGGGGGTTTGTATGGCAGAAGGTACTCCAAGAGGAAGCAGATTCCCTGAGCACTCCAGTGACTCTGGATGTGCCTGGAAAAACCACATAAAGCATTTTTATGGTCAACAAATAGTTATGATTTTATTGAGTTGCAGAGTACACAAGAAAAAAATTGTTCTTTTTGAGTTACTGAAATTTTTAAAGAATGAAAAAATCAGGACCTGTCCTAATAAGGAATGTGGGTTTGCTCTTTTAACATTGGGAATGTTAGGGCTTTGTTAGGAAGGCTTTCTTAGGAAAGCATCTACTAGGAGAGGCCATGGCTAGGACATGGCAGCTTGTGACAGAAGGAAAAGGTTGTCTTTGCCCTAACAAAGACCTCAAATCCAGCCAGAGTGCCCAGATGGTGCCTGGAGATGGGTCCAGATGAGGCTCTGAACCTCCCAAGCCCTATTTCAGTGAGCAGTTGGGATCTAGATTCCTCAAATCCATGCTTAAAAGGAAAACCCCAGTGCAAGTCCCTTAATTCCCATTTCTAGTCAGTCCCTGCTCTCAGAGCTGGGTGAGGGGAGCTCATGTGAGATCCAGCTCACCATGAGGTGTTTAGGGATGTCACCAGCCCCTGTCTCTCCTCTGAGCCCAAGCTCTGCCCTGCCTTGTCTCCTTCTCCAGCACAGTTCTCCAGGCAGACACCTGGAGTTGGGAGAACATGGGACACCTGATTCCAAGTTGCTTTTTCTTCTCTCCTTTCACCCCCTTGGTGATTTTCCTCCAGCTCTCATGCATCCCTCCCCAGCCCTTACCTTCCCAAATTTCTCCCATCCCTGTCCTTGTCCTCACAAAGCACATGCCCATCTCTCTCCTGCCCAGAGGCTTCTCTTTGCTGCAGTTTATGCCATTCCCTGCCTTTCCTTAACCTTCCTGGGCTTCCATCTCCTCCTACTCCAGTCCCCACTAAGAAATGTGTGAGGAGAAGCAAACCCAGCCCTTCCCTCAATTATCTGCCCTGAAACCAGCTTTGTGTTTCCAGCTCATGGCCTCTCCCCGTTGCCATGTGCCAGTGATGTGGTGCAGCTGGGTTCAATAACCCCTGGCAGGCTCCCAGCATGTCTTACTGATTTTTTTTTCCATGTTTGTCATTACAGTGCAAATGAATGACCTTTATCAAGAGAGAAAGCGAACAAGACTTCACCTCATTATTTTCAGAGAAACGAGTTAGAGTCCTCAGAAATCCGGGCAAAACTCTGTTTAAATTCTGAGTTTCAATCATTTTAATGGCAAATTTTAACCTGCAAGGGATGTTTGTGTCTTACTGGTTGCTGCCTTTTGCCTAGGTTTTGCCTAGGAGACAGAGACAATGCCAAGCAAGCTCATGGTGTGAAGTTTATATCCATCTATGTTTGTAGTTCTACTGAAACTTCAGGAATATCTCCTGTAAACCTAATTTTATTTTGATGCTACTTACACTGATAATAAAACAGACTGAGCCAGACTTCCAGGGCTCTTTGTCAGGGATCTGTTTGACCTGCTCTAGTTAAAGGATGAAGAATTTATAGAATCCCAGAATGGTTTGAGTTGGAAGGGATCTTAAATATCATCCAGTTCCAACCCCCTGCCATGGGCAGGGACACTTTCCACGAGAACAGGTTGCTCCAAGCCCTGTCCAACCTGGCCTGGAACACTTCCAGGGATGGGGAGTCAACAAGGCATCAAGGCACTTAAGAAATACCTTGAATTCCAACACAGAGTGCTGGATTTTTTGGAGGGAGGGGGAAAAGATCATATGAGCCAGAGAGGCTTTGTCTGAATAAAGTTACCAGTATCTTGTATTTTCAGCAGACAAACTTTTAGGACATAAAAATTCAATTAAGAAGATAAATGCCCAGCTATTTACAGAGGGCTGGTGCCCTGTTTTTTTGAGAACAGACCTTTTTCTTTTGCAAGAACAAGGCCCATCCATGACACTTGGAAATCAGCTCTGACTCCACCAGTGCACAGGTTTTATTTCTGGATTTGAGCAACTGAACATTTTTTTTTTTCATGGAAAGGAATTTTTCATGAGGCTGAATCTCAAGATCAATCCTGTCCTCCCTTCTTCCCTTTTACCAAGGTTTTGGGGAAAAAACGTTGCCTGAGAGCTGGTCTTTCCTTCTGCAGATCATTGCTCTCCTTGAATCTTTCAAGTTCCTTTAGCCACCACCATCATCAGCTGCTGCCTCCTGTTAGGCCAGACCAGGCTCTTGTGTTGAGTTTTTAGCAGAAAACCAGTTCTTCCAGTCAACTGATCAGTGGCCCCCAGGAAAGCCAAGCTGCTAAAGCAGAACTATTTACCTAGGCCAAGCTTTGAGCAGTTTCTATAGGTGCTACAAAGCAAACAGTTTCCCAAGAAGAGAAGAGGGAACAGGGCTAAGGAGGAAAATATTTGCTCTGGAAATAAGAACTGGAGAGGTGACAAAAAATGTGGGCTGTCAGAAGAATAAGCTGAATATTTCAAAGCTTGCACTGCTGATCCAACTGTGGGCTTGTGGTGGCACAGACAGGGAGATACATTCAAGGAGTCAGGAAGGGATGCACATATTAAGGCAGTTTTAATGAGGTTAGCCACAATTCCAGACTAGCTTGTTACTACCTGTCTGGGAAATTACAGCACCCAGAAGGATGTTGTTGTTTACAATATTAGAAATCAGTTTGCTCCAAGTCTGTTTGAGCTTCAGGTGCCCTGGAGACAGAAGTTTTTCATCCTAAACATTCCTAGTGATATTCAGGTGGCCAAGAACACCAGAACAAGCCCTTTACAAACTCTAACTACTGCTAGGTAGCTCAAGTTGCAATCCCGATGCTGAATTTCCCATCTGTAAGCGAAGATAGAATCTCATTTTATTTTCCAAAGAAGGCAGCGGGGTGGGAGTACATTTTTTTTTTTTGAATGCTGGCCACAGTCCCAGAGTTGTCTCTGCTCATGAAGCACCTTGCTGGTTCTGTGGGATGCTGTTGGAATTCAAGGATTTGATAGAGAAGATCCAGTTTCAGAGCTGAAGGAAGTAATGAGGCATGAACAGTAACCAGAGTCTCCCTCCTGTGTGTTTCCAGTGAGCACTGAGATGGCTCTGGGAGCTGGAGGCTGCTTTTGAAACCATGGCCCTTTGTCATAACCCAAAAGGTGTGTCCTTTCTGTTGGATTACACCTGATCTAAAGCCCTTGATTTATCTGGGATCAGGTTGCCTGTTACAGAAGCAGCTGGATGCTGTTCAACCACATCTCCTGATAAACCATCAGTGGATTTTGGTAATTAGGTGTTGAGCAGAAAACTGAGTTTTAGACAACCCGGGAGAGGGTTCTCCAGAAGGTTTCAGATCATGAGCACAGCCCGGTCAGTCCTGATTCCAGAAGGGTTGGGATTGAATGTTTGTGCAGCTCGTCCTTTCACAGGGAGAACTCCTTTTCATCTCTGCTTGTTCCCAAGGGAAGAGTGAACAGTGCCATGGCTCCTGGCCTCTGACAAGCACTTTGGTGCCTGCCAGGCATGTGCAGACAGGCAGAACCCTGTGCTTCTGCAGCCCAGGATGGTGAAAAGACCATTTGTGGCTCCTCTGGGGCACTGATGAGCAATTAGCAAGTTTTGCTTATGTGACTTCTTTTGGTCTTTTGTGTCATTTCCTGACAGCCATAATGCTCTGCCAGACCTGCTGCTCATTAAAGAGAAAACAGACCCTCTCCTAAAGGAGAGTTTGGGCTGTTTAAGCCCAAAAATCTTCTACAGACCCCTGGAAATAGAGGCTGATGCTAAAAATACGGTTAGGGGTTAGTTGTGCAGGATCAGTGTCACAGCTTGGGCTAAAGGGATGCTATGATTAGAGAAGGAAAGGAGGGAGGGAAAGGAGGGAGCTGGGCTCTGGGCAGGGCTGGAAGCCCCAGCACAGTCCAGCACCTGCCGGTCCTGTGGGAGGTAATTCCTCTTTTACACAAACATGGGAAAGAGGCATGAGCTGACTGGGGTGTCCTCAGATTGCAAACACTCTCTGAGGCCTAAAAACTCATGTGTGAATCAGGGCTTGTGTGGTTTAGGCAGAATTAGAATGGATCTCGTGAAAAAGAAGGTCAAGGTCGGATATTAATGCCCCTTTTTTAAACATTCCTCATCATCCTCTCCCAACCTTCTGTTTCATGCAATACTGGCATCGCTTTTCATCCTCTGAAGCACATTTTAAATCTGTCTGGGTTCAACAGGTGGCCTGAGCCTGCACCAGAAGCAGCTGACAAGACAAGAAAGTCCCCTCCAACCATGCGTGTAGATACAGACTGAGATCTGAGAGTAAAAGACACAAGTGTGATTCCCCCCCGCTCCCTCCCATCCCTCCCAGTCACTCACACCTCCCCAGTAAGACTCATGTTCACTTATGGAGATAAGCATCCAGCCAGAGGTCACCAGATTTCTTCAGGGACCTGTGGGAAGAAAATGAAGACAAGTTTGTTTGGGTTGTGAATCTTGTCTTTGTTGGGTTTTTTCCTATGAAGAAGCCTGTTACTGAATTTTAATATGAATCACAGAATGGTTTGGGTTGGAAGGGACCTTAAAGACCATCCAGTTCCACCCTGCTGCCCTAGGCAGGGACACCTTCCACTAGACCAGGTTGCTCCAAGCCCCATCCAACCTGGTCTTGAACACTTCCAGGGATGGGGCAGCCACAGCTTCTCTGGGCAACCTGTGCCACGGCCTAACCACCCTCACAGCCAAGAATTCCTTCCCAATATGCCATTTAACCTGTCCTCTGGCAGTGGGAAGCCATATCCCCTTGTCCTGTCGCTCCATCCCTTGTCCAAAGTCCCTTCTCAACTCTCCTGGAGCCCTTTTAAGGCACTGGAAGGGGCTCTTAAGACTTTATGAAGCCTGGAGCCTTCTATTCTCCAGGCTGTTAACCCCAGCTCTCCCAGCCTGTTTCCAGAGCAAAGGTCCTGAAGCCTTTAGGACACCAGAATATGAATCCTGAGGACACCAAATGTCTTTCTTTGGGACAACAGATACAGCAAGAAGAGCTGGAGCGAGCAAGAACTTCCCCTGATGCCCTCTGTGTTATTTGTGGTCCTGTGGGGACCATGTGGTAGGGTACAGGGTATCACCTCACTGTGTCTGGGGACAAAAGCAGGTTTTGAGCCAGTTTTCAGCTCTTCTGCACGTTGTGGCCAACCCACTTTAATTTGCCTTTGCTTAGAGTGGTTTGTGCAGGAGATCCCTGGACTGCAGGATGCATTCTCATGTTCCCTGTCATAAATTATTCCCCTTGGAGAAACTGAGACAGAAACATTAACACAGGGGCTGCTGACAAGGACTATTAGACTCGTCTCCAGCTCTGCCTGTGGGGAACAGCCTGTTGCTGCTGGCAGAGCTCACATGGGACGCAGCACGGGCTGTAACCTGACTCATCCCCCTTTGATTCATCTCACTTTTCAGCCTGGAGATCTGCTGCCAGCTCCCAAAACCAAGAATCACCAGCTGCCAGGGCAGCATTTCAAAAAGAGTGTTATAAAAAAAGGTCCCTGTTAGATCACAGAATCATTAAGGTTGGAAAAGCCCTCTAAGATCATCAAGGCTCCCAGCACTGCTGAGCCACCACTAAACCATGTCCCCAAGCGCCACAATCAGGTTAGTACCCATCTAAATGTTGTGTGTTTGGTATTTTGATAGCAACAACACATTGACATGGTATTTCTGAAGGGTCTAGAGTGTTCTGAATTCTCTGTGCTAGAAAATACAGGATGTCCCATCCCTGTAACCATGAACTGCAGCTGCAGGTGATACCAGAAGGACCTTACCCAACAATGTCTACAAATGCTTTCCCAAGAGGCTTCTCCTCATATTGGACTCCATACTTGGCACATAATGACTTCACCAAAGGCTTCACCTTCCAGAAATTGTGCCGTGGCATTGTTGGAAACAGGCTGGAATAGAGAGAAAGAGAAAAAACAAACCTGAGAAAACCCTGGAGACAAACCCCAAGGGATGGGCATCTCTGTCTACATCCTCAGGGGGCTCATTACTAGTCCTCCTCCTCCTCAAGCTGCACAAGCAGAAAAAGGAAGAGAGGCACAGACACATCCATGCTTTACAGCCCTCTGTTTCAAGGAGGTTGTGAAAACTGATTCTCCTGCTGTGCCTCAAAGCAAAGCTGCGTTCAGGACACAATGAAAGTCAGTCTGTGCAAGAGGGGATGCTACAAGTGCCATATGAGGGCAGCAGGAGGGAGGGAACAGCCTCAGTCTGCTCTCATGGCTGCCCATTTCCTTTGGGAATAATTGTTTCTTGCCAAATTTTAGCCCCAGTAACCCCTTTCCCACTTCCTGGAAGCTCATGGAAGAGACACAGGTAAAGAAGGATTTGGGGGCACCTTGCCCAGTGCTGTTTAACAGACATTTCCTAAGCTGACTTCCAAACCTAAAGCTTCACCCTAAAAGCCATCTCTTTTACATTTCGTGTTGTCACTGGCAACAGACTGCCCATATGGCCCTAGTTTTAACATCTTTTCTGGAACCTGGTGCCCAGCAGCCCATACAGTCCCACACACTATAAAACACTGGAGTGCTTTAGGAGAGAGCAGATTCCTGATATGGATACTCAAGTTCAAGTAGTTTGCTTAGGATTTGAGCCCACAGCTCATAATCATAATCATAACTCCTAAATAAACCCCAAAGTAGAATTGAGAGGGTGAAAGCTGAAGTATTTGGTAGCAAGGCCAAGTGATGCTGGGTCTGTACTCACTGGTGCTCGATTTGGAAATTCAGGTGCCCGGTGAACCAGTCGTTGAAGAAGGACTGCTCAATGTTGCAGGTGGCTGCCATCTGTGAGGGCAAGAAAAGGTGAGGATTAGCGACATCTTACCCCAAAATCAGACCAAAGCTCCTCTTGCCTGAGCTGTCAGAGTGCAGACACTGCCATGGTGGGGCCACCTGGGTGCAGAAAGGGGAGCTTTAATCCTCCTTCAGAGCTTACTGTCGAGTAAACCTGAAGTAAGTCAAAGTCCGTGGGTTTGACTGGTGGTAAAGTGATGTGGCAATCCAAACCCAGGCTCCTAAATCTCAGCCTCTCCCAGTAAAAATCAGATGGTTGACAACAGTACCGATGTGAAAAATGGGGCAGGAAAAATGCATGGACACAAAGCCTGCTTTTCCATCCCGTCTAGTTAATTCCCAGTTTGCCTTAAGTGCAAGGTCTGAGTATTCTGACAATATTTCTTAGCTATTCTTGCTATTAATGATTGTAAAATTAAATATTCTTTCTTAAAATCCTCTTGCACTCTGAACTGGGTATGCAGAGCTCTCCCTCCAGCTCTGACTTTCACTGGGTCTCTACTATTTGTATCTATGTGCCAAAATTCAGCACACAGAAAAGCCAAATCATACTTCCTTAACCTGATATCGCCTCAATCTGAGGGAACCTTTTGATTACATTAATTCCAAAATTTTGGACTTTCATATCTCAACCCAGCAGGGCAGGCTCTGGGAAGAACATCTTTATGGGAGGGGTCATGGGCAGACGCCCTACACTACCTGAGGGTAGTGGTAACCCAGTCTTGGAGTAAACTCCATTTTGGGGGGAGTTTGGGGTGTCCTTTCCCCTCCCAGTTACCTGAGAGCTCAGCCAGTCTCTGTGCTTCTCGGAATCGATTTCCATTGGAATGTGATTCATCTGGGTGACCCACACGAACCAGTGACTCTCCAGAAACCTTCAAAACCAGGAGAAATCATGACAATTGATACATAGGTGGGGACACCAGGTGGGGTTTACAGGAAGCATCAGGAGACACAACCTGTGAGAAGGATATTTCTCTGAGGTATTGAAATAAATTGCTCTCTCAGAACCACTCAAAGTCTCAACTTTGCCTCAGGCTTCTTTATTTAGAGTGGCTTTTTTACTGCTTATGGTATAAAATGGTATTTTTAGCACCTGTACAACAGTCTGCATAAATGCACTTTCTATTCCCTTTAACCAAGAAGTTACTTTATTGTAACTTTATTGTAGATATATTAATCTATACTGACATTTAGATGTATGTTGACAAGGTATTGCCTGGACTCATCCTTGTTCTAGGATGTTCACCAGTCTTGTTTAAGTCTTTAGGCTTGTTTTCTGCAATTTTGCTTTTTTTTCTTGCACTTTGAGCTTGATCAAAAATTTTGGAAGTAATGGGTTGGTTGAGATAAGTTTTTCAGCTTGATTTCAGGCTGGAGGCAGATATAGAATTACCTCGGGGAAAGGGTGGCCTGAGCACCCTGGAAGCATCCAGCCATGACCAAAGTGGAAAAAACCACATAAATATGTTGGGATTGGACAGTGTATGTGAACAGGGAATGAGGAAAGCAAGGAGAATCCTGGCTGGACCATCACAGTGCAGGGGGAGATGCTGAGCATCAGAACCATCTGTGCTGCAGGGAGTGGGATTGGGAGATGGTAAGAGGGAAGTGAAGCAGTGGGAGTAGCCAAGATAACACACAGCAAGGAACCTAAAAAAGGGCAGAGCAGAGCTGAGACTGGACTTCTCTGGCACTGGAAGGAGGGGAGAGCAGTAGGGATGCCCTTTATCTCCTACCTGACAAACGTGAGGAGACACAGGGATCCCAGGAGGCCGTAGAATGGGATGTATGTGATGAAGTAGCGCAGATAGTAGCTGATGGCCCAGGCGAGGTCCTAGGGAAGAGAGAAGACATCAGGCATCCCTTCGCCCATCTGGGATAACATGTCCTTGCTGGTGATGCTGGGGACACTGGGTAATCCATCCCTCCCTCGCTGCTCCAGGGTGATCTCCTATGGAACAGCCAGACCCCACAAGGATGGAGGGAACGTTTCACTCACCGCCCAGAACCTGTGCCTGATCATGGTCGAGATGATTTGGATTTGGAAATACACAGGGATGAGCAGAGGTGGGAAGACTGCAAAGCAAAGGGAAATATTTTGGCCATCAGAGGAGTGAGGAAGGTGTGTGATATGAGGAAGCTGGTGATTTGGGACTGGTCCCAGGGAACTGGGAACATGGTTTTTGGTTTTTTTCCATGGAGCATCTCCCATGGAGGTTACTCCCAGTCCTGACTTGGGGGCCTGCACAGTAGTCCTGAGGAAGGGTGGGATGCCTGAGATTTAAGGAGTTGCTCTGCTGACACAGTAAGGGCTGGAAGGGTCAACTGGCATTCCAGGAAAAGGGAAAAGTAGAGGGCAGATACTCACTGAAGAAGAAGTACTCGTGCTGGTGGTTGTAAGGCAGGTACTTCAGCTTCTTCTTGCCGTACTGCAGGACACAGAGGAGAAAGCTCAGCCTTGGATTGTGCCACTCACAGGTAGGAGCAGAGTCTCTGCAATGCTTTATTTACTGGCTGCAGAGTTTTGACTGAATTCCCACCAACAGCTAAGAAGTGTTTTGGGATGATTAAATATCATGACTTTGTAATTGTGTTGGGTGTAAACTCATTTAGAAAGCCTCCTGGTTTGATCTTCAGGTAATTTCTATTTCCTTGAAAGCCTGATGGCATTTTAATGCACTTCTGCCATGCCTGTGGCCATGATAAAATCCGCCAGCACCTCCATCATTCCTGATATAAATGTGATAGGCATAAAGCCTGACTTTTTGGAAGTCATACACGGAATGTCTGTGCAAGGCAACGATCCTTGTGTAGTTTTCCATGCAAAACTGAAGCACCAAGTCTCCAAACCTCACCTCCACAGTGAAATATCTAAAGCTGTACAGAAATGTCTTTTTTGAGCTCCATGATTGCTCCCACCAGGACCCTGGAGAACGTGGATTGCTGTAAACTTGCATTATTGTTCCCAGCACAGCAACTTCCCAATGACCATATACCAGTATCTGTGTCCCCTATACATCTCTGGAGTTACTTTCTCAATAGTATAAAAGCTGGCTGAGAAACCATTTTTAATGTTGTATTTCCCCGTATGGTCTTGGCTGCAGGTGCCTGTTTGTTTATTTTCTTCAGGTTTTTTTGTTTGTAAACTAGAAATCCTTGTTCCATTGTGAAAAAGACAAAGGGTGGTACAAGGTATAAGTCTTTGCGTAGGTTTTTATAAGTAGACAGTAAATATTTTGGCTCTAGGGGGACAGATTGAATTAAAAATCACTTAATATACCCTGTTCATTCATGTGCAGCATGTCAGTTAATGTAAAAAAATGAGAAAATATTCTTATGCAAGCAATATCCCCTCAACTGCTTCTGTGGAGAAGACCTTGTGCAGATCATCTGGGACACAGCTGGATTGACTAATGCTGGAAGATATTTGCTATGGAAGTGGAAGATCAGTTTTGAAATAATCTTGATGAAGGACGGAGGAACACAATTTCCCCCTCACGCTGATATTCAAGCCAGCAGGATGAAGTTGCCTTTGAGGGCTTTCTGCTCTCTTTCCAACCCCATCTGCGTTGTTTTCCCCAAGCTACCCCAAAACACTTTCTCCCGTGGTCAGCACAGGAGATGGATAGGGAATTATTAGTCAACCCTGCTCTTCAGCCCAGGCGTTGGGGAGGGTGCGATGGCCAAACTCCCGTCAGACAATGTAGCCAGATGAAATCCTGGGATTAAATATTTCCTTTCTAGCATTCCAGGAAGTCTTGACTGTGCAAGTCATGTCTACCAACAGGAGCCAACTCCTGGATTTGCGCAATCATTGCCTGAAGCCCTTTTAGGACAGTAGTTTTCCATGCTTTATCCACTTTCTCTTACCTCAACAGGCTGTGTATCTCCAAGGACAAAAACATGCAGCATGTTCACATCTGGGTCCTTCTTGAATATGTTGGGCTTGGCGTGGTGTTGGAAGTGACGGTGGTTCCACCAGTTTGCAGAGGCACCCTGGGCAGACACAAGGACAAGGGATTCATCCATGGGAAGCTCCGGCTCCTCTAAAGGTAGGATTACCCAATCATTCCTATAAACTAAACTGGTGCAACTCAGATCATGGCCAAAATGTTATTTGCTTTTGAAATAGCAACAAGCAGGGAGTGGTTGAGCTGTTGGTTGATATGAGACTGCTGGTTCCAGAGGGATGGTTCACCCTCACTAAGGATCATCCATGTTGAAAGGCAGGGAATAAATACACTCTCAGTGAGTTACATGTCACCATGTCTTCCCACACAGAATGGTTTGGGTCGGAAGACACCTTAAAGACCATCCCATTCCAACCCCCTGCCATGGGCTGGGACACCTTCCACTAAAGCAGGTTGCTCCAAGCCCTGTCCAACCTGGCCTTGTACACTTCCAGGGATGGATAGAATCATTTAGGTCCTGTAAAATCATCAAATCCAACCACTGATTAACACTAACCAAATTCACCACTAAACACTCTTGCTGCCTTGCCAGTTATTATTCTTGTTTCCCTTCTCTGCCTGTGAGGCACAGAGTGGGTTTGGGAGAATGGTTCCTGCTGCACATGGATGAAATGCCTGGATTGCACTGGACTTTACCCAGGACAGAAGTCCTGAAGGCATCTTGAATGGGTGGCATGTAGCAGGATGGGATGTTTGAAAGATATTATTCCTTATTGGAGTGTGTGGCAAAAATACGGATGTAAAAAATTATTAAGCTTTGTCCTCAGCTGATATAAATTAGAGTGATTCCACTGGAACTTTTGGAATTACTGAATCAGCTATGAATACAATCTCTTGTCTCTTCTGCACAACAGCTCCATGTGCAATGGTGGTCACAAAGTTCCTTATGCTTCTGCTCACTTTGGGAAAGTTTAGAGCTGCTCTTTCCTACCCTGACACAGCCAAAGTGACCCACAGGTGTTTCTACAGAGCCCTGGTTCCATAGTGTCCTTTACCTTCAGGTGTCCAATGACAAACTTGTGGACAATGTGGTTCCAGGAAGATTTTTTAAAGACAGACAGGTGTCCAAAATCATGTTGCAGCCACCCTGCCTGGGCCTGGGATGAAGGGAAATCAAATAGTTAGGAAGCTGTTTGGAATCAGAGTGAAGCATGAAGAAACAGAGACAGAAAGCACGTTGTGAGTGTGAGGAAGGAGGGAATTAACTGAGTGAGAAGGTGAAGATCTCTGGAGGAGAACATTTAATTATGGACTCATTCAGATTGGAAAAGACCCTTAAGATCATGAATCCAACCATAATAGTGACACTGCCAAATCCACCAAGATGTGGAAGGAAAAGAGAAAAAGGTGAGAAAAATGTGTGAGCCACAATCAGGAGGCACCACAGCGGCAGGTAAGTTGTGAGTATTTTTCACTGGTATGACTGTTTTGCACTGATCAATAATGTAATAAGAAAAGTTCAGCACACACTGTCCTTCTCCTGAGTGATTTGTGCAGCCAGTGTGCTCCATCCCTACAAGTTCTCACCTGGGAAGTCGTAAGGATGCAGGCCAGGATGAGGGTTGTGATCCAGCCAGTACCAAAGTATGAAACCATCAGCCAGGCCAACACTTCCATTGCAATTATGTGGCCCAAGTAAAGAGAGAAGAACAAAGGACTTGCTCTGAACAAGTTCATGTCCTCTGCAGTCTTCCTCAGGGTCCGGAAATCCTCCACCAGCTGAGACTGCAAGAGACAGGCAAGAGCAGTGTGAGGCTTTTCAGTGAATCTGAATGAGCTGAAGGATGAATTCCATGCTAAGGACCCTGCATTGGTTGGCTACTCCAGAAGTAAAGGACCTGCCTCCATATTCACCCTGTATTACAGCTTTTCACAGTACTTCCCTATGAATAAACATCCTGGCTGATCTGAGCCCACATCCTGACCTTTTGCACCTTGAGCCGGGAGAGTAATTCAAGCCTCCTGCTGTGGATCAGCAGCACGGCCTGGCTATGTCAAGAATCGTATCACCTGATGACTCCTGTCTGAATGAGCTTCCCAAGTGCTAAAGAGAAGCTGGAGAAAGAGGGAAACCAGTGCTATTGTGCAGAATTCCAGAGCTCTGATGATGAGCATCCAATATCGGCGCAACGGTTGTCTATTCAAGCTGTGGGACAGTGCCGTGCACTCGTCCATGAGGAGCATTCCTGGGTCACTGGGGGTCAGTGCTGGCTCCTCTATTGTGAGTGACACAGATATGTCATAATCATGGCCAGCCACAAACATCGGGGCAGGATTGGGTTTCGTGGCAGGAGCCAGTCGTGCCACGCTCTGGGCCTGAATTATGGATGAACAGTCTGGCAGGGAGACAGAGCTGCCCTGGGGACGGTGAGTGGGTGGAAAAGGTGCTTTGTGGGTTGCTTCTCCTTAGCACAGCCACCAAAATGAGACACCTGGGTCACCTCTGCTCATGCCATGCATGGCACAATGTGCTCCCAGAGCTTTGCTGGTACTGTGCTCAGCAGGATAAGCCAGTTGGAGTCTCAAAGAGGCATTTCCCTGGGATTAATGTGTCAAAGGGAGCTGCAGAGCAAACAGGGAAAGAGATTTAGGTCTTGTTGAGGTAGTGAACACCTGTCTGGAAGCCTATTCAGACTTCTTTGCCTACTCCTCTCCTTCCCCCACAACAGGCAAGTGGTGACATGTTTTAGAGCTTGTCACCAGAGAAGGAACAGCAGAAGGGACCCCAGTCACCAGAGCTGCTGCACATTTCCCACTCCACATGTCTCAGTTCCCATTTCCCTTCAGGATGGGATCAGGCCAGCCTAGAAATCAGCTGTTGGTGGCTCTGTGGCAAATGGAAGGCTTACACAGACAGTCTGAACCTGTCGCCCCACTCCCACAGACATTTAAATCTATACTGGGATGTGTGTGTTGCTACGTGGAGATGTTTAGTTACTGAGAATTTTCCTCCCTCTCTGGAGCTGCCTGTAGTGAAGACACCTTTACAGTCTGCCTGCTTCCGACCTGGAGAACATCCCAAGAGTTAAAAATGATGGGAATACCCATCATGAACCCAAAAATCAGACAAAAATACTCACATTTTTACCTCGGTCCTGGCTGGGCTCCCCTGGAGCAAGTTCTCCAATAAGCAATGGCTTGAGAAACTTTTGCACCAAGGTGGGATTGATATGGAAAGCCTGAAATGCATCCTGGAGTGGAAACAGGAGTTACTGTGAGATTCAGGAGTAAAATGTGCTTCCTATTCACTGTGTCATTCCCTTTCACCTCCAACAGCTGTGCTCCCCATGTACCTGTGAAAGAGGGGCAGGAGGTGACCTCCACCTCTGTGATCACTGCATTAATTCCACCTTAAATCCAAAATGGATTTGCTTCCCTATTCTCAAGGGAATGGTGAGACCTGGGAAGTTATTCAGCCATATGGTGAAAGGCACCTCAAGAAATGTTTTCTAAGCAACTAAATACTTAAACCCTGTTAATTCCCTTAGAAGGTAGGCAGGGAGGAATTTGTGCAAATCCCTACTAGGATATAAATACCCTTGGAAAGTCTGATGCTGGGGAGGGGTTGACTGTGGTGACTGAACCTGGACATAACTGCAAATACAAAAAATACAAAAAATACAAAAAAAAACCCCAAATACAAAAAAATATTACTGGGTGTAGATCCTGTAGATCCCAGCAGTAAAACAGCTGAGGAAATTTGGTGACTTTTTATTTTGGAGCCTGCCTTTCTCTTTTTATTCTGTAAGATGAGTAACTGAGTGCTCCCTTAACTCTTCTTCATTCTAGAACCATATTCTAGTTATATTGGCTGTTCTGCAAGCCTTAGAGAGGAACCCAACCATGCTAAGCAGGTTAGAAATCTTCAAATTATCATAGTTGTCAATACATGTGATAAGATTTCTTGTCATTTCTACTGTGTATTTTCTGTTCAGTGCATGTCTGAAATGTTGGTTGCATTTCACTGAAGTCTCTGTAATACTTGTTAATAGACATAAATAGTTTGTTAAATTTCAGCAACAGAATCTAATTGAGGAATGAAACTCAATATGGATGAAACCTGTGAGATAAGTCCCATCCTATATACTCCTGTGGCTGGAAAAGCAGGAAACCAGCTGGAATATGATTTTTCTTACTTATTTTCAAGGCTTCTTCTAATATGGAAGAATAATACCTTGTTTGTAGAGTTGATTTGATCCTGGAATTCATGAGTTTAACCAACTCTTCTTTTTTTCTACTCCTTTCCCTTCCCATATGTTTTTGTCTACCTGTATCTTACAGGTGCCTGATGGGAGCATATTTGATGTGAGTAGTGAGATCTTGCCCACCCCTCCTTTCACATGCCAAGGCTTAAATTTTAACCCAAGCACAGTGTTAGGGACAAAAAGCTGACCAAGATCAGAACCCCTTATTCTGTCCTTGCCCTTTCCTTATTGCACAGAGTTAACTCTTGGAATTCACCCAGGAGAGCTGTGAAGATTAGTTCCATGAAATGATAACACCAGTATGGAAAAAAAAGAGTTAAAACCAGGAGTCAGGAGTACTGTGCTTCAGCCTTTCCACCTTTGTCCCCTTGCCTAACAATTATAGAGACCAACTAGGTCTCCCTCCTGGCTCTAAACAGAAAGGGCAGAGTGAAAGCTGACCCTTCTGGGAGCTGACCTCCATCAAAAGCCCTCGGTCCCAAAGTCCACCAAAAGCAACAGCACCTTTCACCTGATTCCAAGGCTTTGGACTGAGCTTTGAAATAGTACTCTGACCGTAGAAATTTTGCTGTGGGAGGTAATATTTGTGTGTATATGTGTATATATGTACACATATGTAAACAGTTACTGTAGCATTTTCTGCTCTTGGACCCACAAATACATCACTGAAATGTTAACTCTGGTTGCTGGTTCCCTTCTTTGGGACAATTTTCAGATGGTATAAAAGAGGAAAGAAGAGCAGAATTAATGGGGGAGTGAAGAGCTGACTGTACCTACTGCAAGGCTGTGCAATTTTGGGTGAAAAAAAGGGGAAGAAGGGGAAAGAGGAAGAGGGTGAACATGTAAGAAGAATGTCAACTCAATATTATTTAAACTAATGGGAAAAAAAGTCTTTGGAAGTCTGACTGGGTACTGCCTGTCACTGTGCTGGAGATCCTGCTGGTTTGTGTTGTATTAATTTAGGTGTATTAATATAGCTAAAAGGTATTTTTGTCTACCTGTGGCTTCCCTGTCAGTAGCCTGTTTTCTAAACATGCCTATAAATGCTCTGTCATGCCTTTTCCAGGGCCTTTTCCTTTTTCTGCCCCTGAACTGAATAGTTCACTTCTTTCTGGGTGGGATGAAAGGTAGGGGTTGGAACTGGTCAGAAATGCAAATGTGGATGTCAAAACACAATGTTACTCAACAAGAAATGTTTTTATTAGCTATATGTCATGTATCTCCTTTACTAATAGGTCCTGAATATTAGACAGTATCTGAATTTTGGGATTGTCCTCAGTTGTGTACCACAGGAGATAAAAAGTAAAAGGCAAAAGATAGTCTTTGGGAAGTGCTGTGTGATATTGGCACTTGACCTCCCAGCTTTATGTTCTACTGACCAAATAAGCTTAAGAGACTTACAGGATATGGGCAAGAGGGATTTATTCCTGCTGCTTTTGATGCAAAAAAGCTTTGTATAATTGAGGTATGGACATTTGAAGTGCTTAGAGCATCAGCACAAGGATGTTCTTTCACGTCCTTGAACATCCTGAAACAGAGATACTGCAGGGTGTCCCTGCCTTCCTGTTCTGTGCATGGGGTGACACCAGACCAGGTTGTCCCAGACTAATATGTTGTGTTAAAGTGTGGCCTAAAAATCATAGAATGGTTTGGGTTGGAAGGAACCTTAAAAATCATCTCATTCCATCCCCCCAGGGGCACCTTCCACTATCCCAGGATGCTCCAAGCCCTGTCCAACCTGTCCTGAACACTCCAAGGATGGGGCAGCCACAACTTAACTGAGAAACCCATCCCAGGGTCTCACTATCCTCAGAGGGAAGAATTCCTTCCCAATATCTCAGCCTAAAACCACCCTCTGTCAGTATGAAGCCATTCCCCCTTGTCCTGGCACTCCCTGCCAACTACACTTGTTGCTAAGGAGAATCTGAAAAAGATGGAAGCCGTACACAAAGTAGGGATGTAAACATGGGAATTTTTATCATTGCCTTTTCCTCTTCCTAAACTCTCCCAGTTGTGATACCTTGCAACACAGAATAAAACTTGCCAGCTAAAGCCTCAACAGAGTCAAGGCCAAGCCTTTCTCACCCCTAATGAGAGAGGTTTTTTTGGCATTAAACTATTATTCACCATAGGGAAGCTGGAAAACTGATGCCAATCCTGCTTTAGGGCTCAGAGTGGTGATTTAACAATTTCAGAGCATTTTTAAGACTGTGACTTCATGGCATGAGATGTAAGAAGGGTGGGAAGGTGGGTGGGGAGGTGGGAGGAGGATCAGCAATCCTAGAATCACCAACCTGTATTTCAGCCTCCCTTTTAAGGATTCCAGACAAATATAATAGCTGATGCTTTTGGTTTCTAATGGAGATATTGGAGTTAAATTCTTGGGGACAGGAGTCAAATTCCTCCAGTTTCACCAGCTCTGTGTTTAAGCAGTTGAAAGTAAAACCTGGCCCATCTTTTTGAGGGAGAAAGCTATTAATTCAGAGGATTTACTGGAAAGGGACAGGAATGCCAAAATGCGGCTCCGTTTCAAGGAAAAGAATGGAAAAATTACCACGAAATGCAGGGAAATGGGGACTGATGGAAAGGTAAGGTTAGTGGTTCTGCCAAATAATTTTGTAACACATGGAACCTCCTCCTTGTTAAGGTGTCAGGAGCTGTGGGAGACCAACAGTTAATGTTACTGCTTGATCTCTGCACATTTTGGGAAAAGCTCTGAGGCGGTTTGGATTTTATTAATGTACCCTGAGGAGAGAACACTCTCTGGATGCACTTCTGAGGAAGGTGGTTTTGAGGGAAACTCCAGACAACAAACAATTTATTTCTAATTTGTTCCTTTGTCAAGGTTGGGGTTTTCTTTTGGTTCGGTTTGGTTTGGCTTCTTGTTTTTTAAGTTGCTGAAACCTGAGAGGTGGCTGAACCCATCACAGGAGCAGCTAGAGCAGCAGCAAATGGTTTGCTTTTTTTTTTTCTTTTCTGTAGCAACCTGTAACCAAATTCTCTAGAGAATTCGCTCCTGGGGAAAAAAACCAAAAAGCTTCTTGTTTTAAAGCCTCAAGTTCACCCTCCTCACAGAAGCAACTTTGAGACACAGCCTGGCCTCTCCTTAACCCTTCCCGTGCTTGGCTGTGTGACTCTGCATGTCAGACACACCAGAAAGGGGAAGATTTGGGACATTTTGCTCCTGGATTCAGAGCTCCAGGCACAGCACAAACGAGACAAAGGCAAACTAGCAGGATTTAGGCAGAGCCGAGCAATCTCTGGGCTGCGGATTGCCAGGGTTCCAGGGAGCTGCATCTATTTGGATCAAGCTTTTCGCTCCTCCAAGCAGCGAAAGGGCTGAGCTGGATGTCCAGCAGGTGGTAGGGAGACTGGGAGAGGGAAGAGGCAGGCAGCCGGCTCCCTTCAGACCCAGCAGGGAGAGAAGGAGCTGTCAGAGGATGCTGCTGGAGCCGGGAGAGCAGCGGGGGTCGGTGCGGGGGGTCCTTACCGTGGCATCTTCGCCGGCGCAGTGGCTGATCACTCGCTGACCCCCCGGGTGTCTGTTTGCCCACTTGGTGATATTATAAACCTTTCGATCTATCACCAGCCACTTGTCCGTCCTCAGGTTGTGCTTCTGGATCTCCTCCCAGGTGTAGAAGCGGATCTGCGCCGCCGGGTCCCCCGAATCCCCCCCTTGCTCTCCCCCTTTCCCCATGGGGCCACTCCGTTCTTTGTCTTCTTGCCCCAAGGGTGAGGTTGTGGGGGGAACCTGTCCCTGCGCTTCTTAGGGATGCGCCGGAGGGGAAGGGCTTTCCTTGCGGGATTTGACTCAGCTGATCCCCTGCTCTCCCCCTTCGCCTTCGCTCATGTCCTCCCTTCTCTTTGTCTCTCGCTTCCCAGCCCTTGGAATCTCTCTGCCTGCTCGGAAGTGCCCCCTAGGCTGGCTGTCCCCGCACTGGTGCACTTTCTCCTCGCACATAGCCCTGTTTTGTGGGAAGCTCGGCCCCTTCCAACACCCCCCCCCCCGCATCCCTCCCCTCGGGCATCTCCTCCCTCCCCCCCCCGTCCCCCCCCCGCCACCTCCTCCCTCCCGGGCATCCTCTCACTCCCGACTCCTCCCCTCCAACATCCTCCTTCCACCCCCTTCCCCGGCATCCCCCCCGCTTTCCAGGGCATCCTCCCCCCCTCCGGCATCCCCCCCCAGCCCGTGCCGGCGGGTTTCCCGGCGGGATCAGCCGAGCCCCAGCGCAATCCCGGCCGTCCGCCGCCCTCCCGCTCCCGGCCATTGGCCCGGACCGATCTTTCGAAGCCGGGGCGGCCGCGGGCCGGGACCGCCCGCCCGGGGCCGGGGGCGGGAGGGAGCCCCTCGCCTCCTCCTCCTCCGCTTCGCTCTGGGCTTCGTGTCCTCGAGATTTTTACTCCTGATTTCAAGAGCTGCCCCCCCCCCTTTCCTCTTTTTTTTTTCCCCGTTTTTTTCTCTTTTTCTTTTTTCTTTTTTTTTGGGGGGGGGTTTGTTTCTTCCTTTCCCCCTTTTTCTTTTCCTCTTTTCTTTTGTTTTTATTTGCCTTTCCCCTCCCTTTCCCACTTACCACCCCGATCCCCTTTTTCTCCCCCTCCCCTCTTTTCCTTCCTTTTCCCTCCTTTTCTCCCCTTCCCTATTCCTCCCCTTTCCCCATTTCTCCCTCCTTTCTCCCCTTCTTCTCTCCTTTTCCCTCCCCTTTTCCCTATCTTTTTCCCCTTCTCCCTTTTGCCCCCTTTTCCCCCCTCATTTTCCCCCTCCTTTCTTCCCATTTCCCTCTCTTCTCCCTTCTTTCTTCCCTTCCCCCTTCTTTTCAGTCTTTCCCCCTTTCTCTCTCTCCCTCCCCCATTACCCTCCCTCTTTTTCCACCCCTTTCTCCCCTTTTCCCCCTTTACCCCTCTTTTCATTCCTTCCTCCCTTTATCCCTTCTCCCCTTCCCGCACTTCCCCCTTTTCCTCCTTTCCCCTCTTCCCCCCTTCCCTCACTTTCCCCTCTTCCCTCTTCCCCTTTTTTTTAACCTTTTTTACCTTTTAAAACATTTTGACCCTTTTTAAACTTATCTCACTTTTTCATCCCTTTTTTTATCCACTTTTTTCCTTTGTCTCTCTTTTTTCCCCCCAGACTTCTCACCTCCCTTTTTACTGTCAGGCTTAAAAAGATGTTGCAATTCTGCCTGAAATTACCATTGTTTTGCTCTATTTTTGCCATCCTGCCACTGAGGCTGCCAGACTTCACAGCTTCCTTGTGTCAAAAAGAGAGCTGGTTGATCTCAGCCAGTTTGCTTGCCAAGGGCCATGATTTTATGAACAGGTGGGACAATGCCATCTTTTCCTTGCCGTGGGGCACTTTATTCTATCCAATCCCTGTCATTATGTTACACAAGGTGTTGTGGTGCAAGAGCAGAAACCACTCACAGCACTTTCCCTGCTGCTTTTTTCACATCTGAGAGTTTCTGTGACCACTTTCCAGGGCCAGGCAGGTGTGACCCCCAGCTTTCCTGGAGATAGGGATCTTTTCTTGAGATTATTTTCCATGAATAAATGGAAGGGTTATTAATCCTTTCTATAGTGGCACTGTCTGGGTCAGAGCAGGAGAAGGAATTCACCAGGGTTTGGGTTGGAAGGGATCTTAAAAATCATTCAGTCCCACCCCTTGCCATGGGCAGGGACACCTTCCACTAGCCCAGGTTGCTCCAAGCCCTGTCCAACCTGGCCTTGAACACTTCCAGGGATGGAGCAGCCACAGCTTCTCTGGGTAACCTGTGCCAGGGCCTCACCACCCTCACAGGGAAGGATTTCTCCCTAATATCCAATCTAAATATCTTTCTTTAGTTTAAACCATTCCACTTGTCCTAGCAAATGTTTTAATTCACATTAAATATTTTAATTCACAATGAATTTTTCTTTTTAGCCAACTCCCACACCTCAATGCTGAAGGGAAGCACGGGGTGAGACCAGTGAAAGCACAAAGTGCCTCCAGTCCTGGTGCTGTTGTCCAGCCCAAGCCATGGTTTAGAGCAGGCGTAGGCAAGGGATATTCTGTTTTTCCCTGCTGCCACTAGCCTGGAGGAGCTGACAATCTAAATCTAAAATCTAAAAATCTAACAATTTAAATCTAAAGATTACTTGTTCCTCTCCATTTCTCCATCTATACCCCCTACTCAGGCAACAGGAACAGAGATCAAAGGGAGAGAACAAAAACTTCTACACTAGTGAGAACCACTCTGTGCTGCCTTTGTGCCAAGCCCTGCTATAGCTTTTCTCTGCTTCTGCCTGGTGTTAGTGCTACAGGAGGACTTCAGCCTATTAAAGTCTTTTGCTGTGGTGTGGGGTGAGGAAAGTCAGAAATGAAAGGAATGTTTTCCTAAGACTTGCTAGTTTTATTTAGTTTGGTTCAAAATAGCCCTCTGACCAGGATCATACTAAATTACAGCAAGACATTGCATTAAGGTGGACCTGAAACTCACTGCTTGTGATGTGGGAAAAGTTTACTGTGACACTTTCTGAGTTCTTTGAATTTTGGGATCTTGATCCTGGCTAGGTACAAATGGTGATTTTCCTGGTAACAGCAGTTGAAAATCTGGTTCTCTAGTTTGTGTGATTGTGCTGAGGAGGACCATGGCCCTGCCCTGAGCCAGGAGGTTGTGCTTTAACCCTCAGAGGTCCTTTGCAAACCACATTGCATTATAATTCCATATAGAAGAAGATTGTAAAGCTGAAGAACATGGAGATGTCCAAGAGGATGGAGAGGCCCAGTGGGCAACAAAGAGAAAGGAATGATTAAAACTGACAGAAGGTGGATTTAGATTGGATAATGGGAAGAAAATCTTCCCTGGAAGGGTGGGGAGGCCCTGGCACAGGTTTTCCAGAGAAACGGTGGAAGCTTCGTCCCTGGAAGTGTTCAAGGCCAGGTTGGATGGGGCTTGGAGCAACCTGGGATAGTGGAAGGTGTCCCTGCCCATGGCAGGAAGTTGAAATGAGATGAGCTTTAAAGTCCCTTCCAACCCAAACCACTCTGTGACTGTGTTGATCCTATAAAATGAGCTGAAAAGTAGATTGGTACATTTTGGACATGCCTCTTTTCCCTGTAGATGGGCATAGAAGCAAAGTCAGCACCCAGAACTCCTCATCTGGATATCTCCCATAAATAATTGCACAGTAACTTCATGACAAGGCAATGAAAGACGCCTATAAAATAATCCCTGTCACTCTCATCCTCCAGCAGCACAGCCAGTCAGGCTGTCAGGCTTCATGCAGCACTTGTTCCCAGTTTTCTTTGGCTCCTGGGACACAAAGCAGCCTCGGCAATGAGAGGAGAACAGACTCTGCTCTATGGCCAAGTAGGTGAAAGGCTGCAGTGGCTGCTCGGTGTAGCTTTAATGGCACAAAGAGCTTGTGTGAGAGACATAAAAGCCCTGAGTTTAACCAAATAGTCACAAGATGGGGGCAAAAAAAGGTGAGAAACATGAAAGGAAACAAAATGTGAAAGAGGAGATGCAGAGGAGTGTGAAGTGGAGGGAGAATTCCTTTTTGCAGGAAGCACACATAGAAGGGTGTGTCTGCTCCTCAGGGTGATGTAGAAATACATAAGCTAATGAGTAAGTCAAGGATATCATGCTAGATTAGACTGGAATGGGAAAAGAAACAGGACAACTTGGTAGTTCAGATATCTTTACACTGTGACATGCATTGGTTTAAGGTAAAAGAAATGGAAACTACATTTTAAAAATGTAGTAAAAACCAGCCTTTTATGTGTTTGTTGTCTCATCCTTTACTGAGTTTTATGTAGAAGTTGCTAAGACCAGGTAAGTTTCTTTTAATTTGGTTTTTAGAAAGGACTGGAGCCTCCATTAATACCTGGTTGATTTTGACATTAGCACCCAGCCTGGAAATGCACTGTAACTGTGCAGTAGTCCCCATGGATGGAGGGAAAATCCTCCTTTCCCCCCATTTTAAACTATGAGATCCATCACTTGGTATGGATAGATCCATGACATGTGGTGGGAAAAGGAGGCAGCAGGAGAGAGCAGTGAACAAGGGGTGTGTGGGAAGGACATGGGAGCAGGTACGTGAAGAGGAAAAATGGGACGGGCTAAGACAGAAAGTGGAAACTGAGAATATTGGGAGAAAAATACAGAGAGGATCAGATTTAGCTGCATCTTTAGACTTTTAGATACCTTTAGCTACTCTGCCAAGGAAAAACAAATGTAAGGAGAGAAAGGATCCCACGTTTTCCCTCCCTGTCACTAGAAGAAAAGGCTGAGGAGCTCTGAACTGGGTGAATAATAAATTCAAACACAGTGGGAAACAGCTAAATCACATCCTAACTAGGCTGGGGAATGGGATGCTGGAACATGGAACCTGAGGTGAGAGAACCAGTGGTTAGGTAGGGATGCTGTAGCAATCAATATATTTTAAATAAAGACAAAAAGCTATCTTAGATGTGTTGATATTTTATACTCTGACATATTCCAGTGTTGATGGCACTTGTTCCAGTCCTGAGAGAGTGGCTGAGAGCTGAGTAACTTTACGAGGGAAACAACCAACAAAGAAACAGAAATCCCCATTGTGCCCTGACTGGCAGGGATTCCACATTCTGCAGTGGATCTTGGGCTGGCAGGAGGATTATCAGGGTCAGGGCACAAACTGCTCTGGCTGCCAAGGAAGCAGAGGACAGACTCACACTGCTGGAGTACAGAAAGCAGCAGGCACTGCAAGGCCCCACCAGGACAGGAATAAGGAGAGAAATGCTCTGTTCTAGTGCTGCCTTACAGTAGAATCTCATTTGTAATAATTTCTAATGAAAACTCTGTCCTACAAATGTTCTCCTGCTATCATCAGATTCTTTCCTTTTCTCCTTATTCAGATTTTATTTTCAAATGTATAAAAGTCTAAACAATTACTGCCTCACTCCCTCAGTTACTAATCTGAATTTACTTCTTCTGAAGGACAAAAAATAAGCTTATTTTTATCTCATCCCTTACATATTCCTGGTTGCT